GTATCTTAGTGTAGTCTACTTATATGCCAAGTTATATTTAAATCAGATCAAAACTGTAGGAGGAGTAGCATTTTGAAAAATTGTTTACAGACAGACAGACAGACAGACAGACGGACAGACGGACGGACGCCGGACGCATTACTATCGCATAAGCTCTTCTGGTCTCTGACCAGTAGAGCTAAAAATTAGGACTGATCGAAGTTGGACCCCCTCCCCGAAATAGGATTTTTGGGCTTGGATTGGACAATTTTTTTTTTGGCTTCTCAAGTTTTTTTTTGGGGGCGAACATTTTTTTCTGGCTGACCCCCCCCCCCTCCTTTCGAAAAAGACGATACGTCACTGGAATTAGTAATTTTTGCAACCATTCCAGGGCCAGAGTTCTTTTACAAAAATCTACCAATCCCTCATCTAAATCAATTGAATATGCCTTAGTAAGCATGCATGGACACATATCAGTAACGGATATGAGAATCTTGAACAAAAAAAAAAATGTCCAAGCCTGAAGGGGGACGGTTTATGGTTGGAGACCAAGGGGGAACGCGGAGAAGATCTCAGGCTTTATAGTTTTATAAAAAAGTTTTCAACTTAATTCAGCTAAACTTAATGTGAAACTAATGCAATGTCCTACAAAGTAAAACCAATAAATTTATTAATTTTATGTACATGTAGATTTTGGTCACTAAGTAGGGCGGGATTTCCCCCTCCCCCCAACCCACCAGTGCACGTGTGTTATACGATGTGTTTACACTTTAAAACAAAAGGAAAGTTCAAGACTGATAAAAAAAAACTTATTACAATGTTCTTAGTAAGATCAGAAGTTAAGACTTTTAGCCAAAAAAAAAAAAAAAAAAAAAAAAAAACAACAACAACAAACAAACAAACAATTCAAAATAAAAAGAAAAAAAAAATTGCTGCACGACTCATAATATTTGATTTATTTAATTATCAGATTAAAGTAAACGCCATTGAATTTCGACGTGACTTTAATTCACAGTCGCAGTGTTCAGGCTTTGCACGTTTAAAGATTGTCAATCCTTTGTCGCTTAAAATTTTTATTTAAAGATGCCATTCCCAAATCGCTGAGATTTCTTCTACGACAGTTTTCTCTCCCGCCAATTTAGTGCTTGCGGAACGCGGAAAATACGTTATGCTCATATAAAGGCCGAGGATACCCGTGTTCGCATAACGTAATAGTGAATGTACTTAGTGTGAGTTAATATCATAAAGAATTGACATAATGTAATGTTAGGTTGACACAATGTAATTGTTTTTTAATTAAATGTCATGAACAGTAAACATAACGAAATGCAAGAATGTGTAAATGTCATAAAGTGTTGACATAATGAAAAGGAAGGTTTACACGATGCAATAGTAGTGTGGGATAATATCATAAAGAATTGACACAATATAATGGAAGGTTGACACAATGCAGTAGTAGTATGGGTTAATGTCATAAAGAGTTGACATAATATAATGTAAGGTTGACACAACGCAATAGTAGTGTGAGTAAATGTCATAAAGAGTTGACATAATGTAATGAAAGGTTGAAACAAAGAAATAATAGTGGGAGTAAATGTCATGAAGAGTTGACATAATGAAACCGAAGGTTGACACAATGTAATAGTAGTGTGAGTAACTGTCATATGGAGTTGACGTTATGTAAAGGAAAGTTCACACAATGCAATAGTAGTGTGACTAAATGTCATAAAGAGTTGACATAATGTAAAGTTCACACAATGCTATAGTAGTATGAGTTAATATCATGTAGAGTTGACATAACGTAATAGAAGGTTGACACAATGTAATAGTTGTGTGAGTAAATGTCATAAAGAGTTGACATTATATAAATGGTGCCTGTTTTGGAGGGTAACATTTGAAATTGACACCCCAAGGAAAACCATTGTCAACCGACGCGTCAGCGGAGGTTGACAATGGTTTTCCGAGGGGTGTCAATTTCAAATGTTACCCTCCAAAACAGACACCATTTATTTTATTATACTGAATGTCTTATTGATTTAGGACGTCAGCACAAAAAAAACGTCGATCGTCTTTACGTTCATGTATAGAAAGATTTCACACTCACCGGTTCACTAATCTCCTTATTGTTAGTTTGATACTCTAATTAGAGTCATTTATCATATAAAGTTTCGTTATTTCTGGCTCGCAAGCATGTTTCCTACACTCGCAAGCATGTATCGTCTGTCGTTTGTTGTTTTCAAGCTTTTATTGAAGTCAAGTTAATTCCGGTTCTTTCAAACGCGCAACTGACGTTTTGAGAATTCTACGGTGAACCGTACGCGCATAATTTCCACGCATGTGGCATTACCGTTGTGTTACCCGTTGTCACGTGTGTTGCTAAGGCTCAGGGTAATCGAACGGATTGTTAACTGCGTCTAAACCAATCAGATTTTAGTATTTAACATGAAAGTATAATAAAATGTAATGGAAGGTTGACGCAGCGCAGTTGTTGTGTTCTGCTATAAGGCAGTGTCGGCGTTCCATATTTATCTCTATGTACTGTAGATTCCTTATTTTTCGAGAGTACTTTTTATCGCGAATGCGCTCTTTAACAGCAAATCAAGAATAAGAATTCGCGATTGGACGGTTGGACAAGAGTTTTCACATACATTTCAGCACCATAAAATAAAGGCGAGTATTTTGATTTCGCGTTTGGTGCTTCTGGCAAAATTACACGATAATTAATTCCACATGTATATTTAAGGAATCACTGTCTAGTTAGGAGGGTATGTCAGGGCATCAACAATAGTGGGAAACATGGGATAATTTGCATAATGGGCGAAGCCCGTTATGCTTAAATTATCCCATGTTTCCCACTATGTTGATGTCCCTGACATACCCTCCTAACTAGACAGTGATTTCTTATATTTCCATTTCTTTGTGAAATAAAATTGTAGATTTAAACTTTAAAAATGTAGACTAATAGGTTTAAATTACACGAGGACTTCCATGCCAATTTCAATAGTCCTCGCCTACTGACGGCAAACACAAATTTAAAGCAGCCGCACGAGATTTACATGCGTATTAGGCCTCCTTAGCATCAGACACAGAGACAGATGCGCACGAGAATTGCATGCATATTAGGCCTCCTTAGCTCCCGACCTATCGACCTGCCTAATTTACATTCCGGCAGAATTATCAAGAAATAAACTACCCCTAACTTTCAAAGAGTTATCACAGAGTAAAAAATTAGAAATGGAAATATTTTGGAATCTACAGTATTTTAAATTCATAAATTCCATGAATCCTTGGTTATCTCTTAAATTTTTTTTCTTGGGCACATGGAGTTCAATATATCAAGGTTCGACTTAATGGGCTTTACAGTTATGCTGAAATATCTACACATTTGTGTGACTTAATTTTATAAAACTATATAGAAATTACAGGTCTATACTCTGGTATTAATTCAATATTAAAAGCATTTGTATAGTTTTTGTTTCTGTACTTTTTATGCAGTTTGAAAAGGTGAAAGCAATTTTGTTTAGTACATTTTATGCCCTCATTTTAAACCTTGTTTTAAACATTATTGCATCAACATTTAGGCAGTTTGAAAGTTATGGTGCCAAATACAGTTGTAAAACAGAGAAACATGGTTCAAAAATATAGGGCCAACTTTTAGTTTGATCTCATGGGGCACAGGGCATAAAAACAGGAAGAGCTTTTAATTTGTTAACACAATCTCTTGTGGCACATGAATGGACAATCTCAAATCTGTTTTAATGATAAACATGACAGCATGGTTTCAATCAGGGTTAGTCAAGTTGTCTCAAAAAAGATCTCTGTGCCACTACTAATGACTCCTTGAAACAGTTTCTTCTTCTACGACTGCTTAAGATATATGACACGCTAATATCTTAATCACCAATCAATGACCTAGATTGCATTCGGGCTCCAAAATAATACAAAGGAGCAAACCATGCAGCCAATCTTTGATAAAAATCCTTCTTTTTAACATTCACAACAGTTAACGTTCAATGTTGCATGTCTTATTGCCATTAAACTATTACTGACTACATTTACTCCTGATAATATCAAAATAAAAATAAAAGTGTTACACATCAGAAAAGAAAAGGCACTTTCCTTGCATGTTTTTGGCATGTATACATTGTGATTGGTATTGAAAAGACCTACTTTCTAAATTTATTACCCCTCAATTTTCAGACAATGTGGTGGCATCTACACTGCTCCCACAAATTCTGGTACATAGATACCTAAATCTAACAACCGACATGTGGCCTGTGACTTAAATTGGGCCTTACACATGTGTCAAAATTTAATTTGAATGCTTAGCAGTCACACAGAGCTAATGCAAAGTAATTTAATGCGCAGTAAATTAATTCAAATTAACTGATTGAAAATAAAATTCTCCATGTGAACACTGTTCAAATTTTTTTTATTTGCAGTAACTTAATACATTTAATTCGAATTAAAATCTCTGTGTGAACAAGGCATTAGTTTATTTTTCTACTTAGGGTATCCATCTGATTTCTTCAAAAAAAAATATTCAAATATCGTGAAGTGTTTATGAGCGTTAAACTTTTGTATTTTGAACACTGATATTTCTATAAATAACATAGATATGTAGAAGCAATTTGGAAATACTTGCTGCTTATTCATTAACTAATTTACTCTCAATATCTCAAATCCTTGTTTTTGTTTTTGTTTTTCTCACCGAGTTCAAGATGACAAGGTTTAACTATTTATGAAAACAGATTACATGAAAATGTTTTTAATTATTCGAGCTTTGTGTACTTTATTGTAAAGAATACTTAAAACTGTTTAAATTGTGTCAATCAATGAATATTTCAGTTTTATGGCATTTTTCATCAAAGGCCAGATCACTCAAAATAAATAAATTCAATAAAATTAGAACTCTTCAGTGAGTAGTGTTCAGAGCTTCCTTAACAATTATTATTTTTCTGACCTGAGACCCAGAGAGCAATAAATCACTAAATCTGGAACAGGCATGTTAGATAACTTACCTGTGTGCAGGGAAGAAGAGAATTGTGGGATACGAATCCAAGGTAAACTCCCACCTGAGATCGTTCTTATCTGCATCGATTCTGTAATACGTAAAAGCTTAAAAATAGAATTTCAACCAGGAAATTAAAATGTTGTTGATCAGTCTGGCTTTAAATTTATGATATAATTTTATGAATCATTTATTAAAATAAAAAATTCTCAAGGTTAAAGCATTTTTAAAATAAAAGCATTAAAATGTTCAATTTACAATGATCTTGACATACCTTGCAAACAGGAGATCTTTGGCTGAGGAGAAATATTTTGCTAACTGGAGGTAAATGTGTGAAAAACTGATACAAAATCCACACCACTTAGCTGTGATAAGTAATACTACATCCTGTAATGGAATCAGAAATTAAATTTTAAGATCCAATCACCATAAAACACTAAGGTTTGACTTTATAATTCAGGTTTTTTCCCTAAGTATTGAGAAAATTAATGATCATTATTGTACTGATATTAAAAAAAAATCAAATCAGAAAAAACCTCACTATCAAAAGAAACTTGTTGACAAGTATAGTTCCTCAACTGATCAAAAGTAAAACTTGTCAGAGACCAGAAATAGAAAGACAAAATAATGATCATGACAAGTCATCCATAATACTGGTACTTCAAATGAATCCCCCCCATTACTTTACTGTACTTTATCATATTCTATTTTTACATCCTGGGTAAGTCTGAATGGCTTACTTTTTCTTTCTGCATGATGACAGAATGGAATGTCTGGGAAGTAACTTCCTGTACACAGATAGCGTCATGTGACCTCGTATCACAGCGCTGCTTGGGACTTTCTGAACGCAGGTGGCGCTCTAATGCACTTTCTGTATAATTCTGTATAAAATTTGCTGCAAAAAAGTAAAACAAACAGTAGGTTTACAAACAGCATTGCCTTCGTATAGGTTGAGTAAATTTAAAGTGATATATATTAGTTATAGGGTATTTTTGGAGGGAGTAAAGTTAAACCATGAGTAAAACTAATTCATGTAACCTTTAAAACTATAAACAAATTCAAACAAAATAAATCTTTTATTAATTCAATTGCTTAATAAAATAAAAATACTCTTACCTAGGTTTTTTCTAGAGAAAGACTCCCTGAGAATATAATTTGCTTCATTCTGAAAGTGAGAGAATTACACATTACAACATCTCCAAACACAGTTTTATATTTCTTACATAAAATCATAACCATCCAGCAAAGCCAAAAAATTTGAAAACTTAAAATTTGTTTACCTTTTTATCTATAATTATCACAAAAGGCTTCTGTATATTAACAGATCTGAGAACATTAAGTCTCTTTAGTAAAGCTGTATTTAATGAAGTATCTAGGAAAAATAGACTAATGGTTCTGTTTGTCCTGCAAGCAGAACCCGTAAAGTTCACGGGGATAAAACTGGCCTCAAAGTCTCGAATAAACTGACTTGGTTTTAATAGATTCTGAGTTTTTTGAAGCGTCAATTTCCCACATATATTTTTCTTCAGCGAGGAGCTACTTTGGCGAACAAAATTGTCATTGCTCCTTCTTGAAGAAATGGAAGCACAAGATTTATAAGAAATATCTATTTTGCATTCTCTGCAACACAACGTCCTGTACTCATTGGTATTATAATTTTCTAAAGCGTCTAAACAGAATGGAGCCTGAATGTGGCTCCCAAACACTGCTTCCTCTGCAAACAACAAAGATGGCCCCAGGTTACAAGACTGGGGTGAAGCGGGAGTCAATTTCTTCTCCATGTATCGACAGAAATCACAGATTTTCTTGGAATTGTGTAGGTTGTTGTCGGCACCTACAAGCGACACACAGCAGTTTCTGTCGGGATAAGAAAACTGCTTTTCCTGAACGTCGTAGAAGTTTTTACACAGGTTCAGTTGGTCTGCGTAACTCTGGAAAACATGGGCTCTGTCCCTCATGCTCTGTCTTAAGAAGAACTCCAGGTAGGGTACCTCATGACAATAATGGTACAGCAGGCCTACTTCTCTCACCTGTCAAAAGGAGCTACCATTTAGCAAGTTTTCCGACTAACAATACCACCATTTAGAAAGACACAATTATTATATAAGTTTAAGAAAAAACAATACTACTTGATATTCTCCCTTATTATGAGTTACCGTAAAACTCGTTTATAATGAAGTCACTGGGACCTATGAAATTACTTTGCTATATCTGTAATTCGTGTTATCCATATTTGGACCTTGTTAAATTTATATAGCTGTGGATCCAAGATAACTTTGTTATATATGTGAATCCGCAATTTCCCTGTTCGTACTAAAAAAGTTTTACTGTATTCCTTAATAAAACAAAAAGGTATATAAAAAAATCATTTCTAATTAGGCTATATAAAACTAAAATTCTGGTTCTCAGGCCCGGGCACATCCGTTTTAGGTAGCCGCATGCATTGCTAATTTTATTGTATTTTTGATAAAATAAAAAGTTGGCATTGCAGAGACCAATCCGGAAAAAAAAAAGTTCTGTCCTCATTTTTTCGTAGTTTAGTATTCAAATATCACTTCTGGTAGCCATTTGCAAAGAGATTTTGGCTACTTCACTTGAAAATACATTCCAAGACATTGCCTACAATGTTCACACACTGATAAGCAATGAATAAAGCAAACCTTTTGATCAGACATGGAAAGTATATCTGTGATTTAAAAAAATTATCTTTATTCTAGAGAAAATTCGAAAATGAATATAAAAACAAGAGGCCCATGGGCCACATCGCTCACCTGAGAATCTTTTGTCATATTGTTCTTTACCAGATTTCCCCCTTGTAATACATATTGTGGCCCTGCCCTACCCCCTGGGGTCATGATTTACTACCCCAGGGTGCATCCACATCAGTTTCAGCTTTTCTGGCCCAGTGGTTCTTGAGAAGAAGATTTTCAAAGATTTTTCCTATATATTTCTATGTAAAACATTGATGCCCCATTGTGGCCCCACCCTACCCTCTGGGGTCATGATTTGAACAATTTAGAATCTACACTATCCCAGGGTGCTTCCACATAAGATTCAGCTTTTCTGGCCCAGTGGTTCTTGAGAAGAAGATTTTCAAAGATTTTTCCTATATATTTCTATGTAAAACTTTGATTCACCATTGTGGCCCCGCCCAACCCCCGGGGGTCATGTTTTGAACAATTTAGAATCTACACTACCCAACAATGCTTCCACATGAGTTTCAGCTTTTCTGGCCCAGTGGTTGTTGAAAAGAAGACTTTCAAAGATTTTTCCTATATATTTCTATGTAAAACTTTTATTCCCCATTGTGGCCCCGCCCTACCCTCGGGGGTCATTATTTGAACAATTTAGAATCTACACTACCCCAGGATGCTTCCACATCAGTTTCAGCTTTTCTGGCCCAGTTGTTCTTGAGAAGAAGATTTTCAAAGATTTTTCCTCTATATTTCTATGTAAAACATTGATGCCCCATTGTGGCCCCGCCCTACCCCCGGGGGTCATGATTTGAACAATTTAGAATCTACACTACCCCAGGGTGCTTCCACATCAGTTTCAGCCTTATTGGCCCAGTGGTTCTTGAGAAGAAGATTTTCAAAGATTTTTCCTACATATTTCTATGTAAAACTTTGATTCCCCATTGTGGCCCCGCCCAACCCCCGGGGGTCATGATTTGAACAATTTAGAATCTACACTACCCCACAATGCTTCCACGTCAGTTTCAGCTTTTCTGGCCCAGTGGTTCTTGAGAAGAAGATTTTCAAAGATTTTTCCTACATATTTCTATGTAAAACTTTGATTCCCAATTGTGGCCCCGCCCTACCCCCTGGGGTCATGATTTGAACAATTTAGAATCTACACTACCCCAGGGTGCTTCCACATCAGTTTCAGCCTTATTGGCCCAGTGGTTCTTGAGAAGAAGATTTTCAAAGATTTTTCCTATATATTTCTATGTAAAACTTTGATTCACCATTGTGGCCCCGCCCAACCCCCGGGGGTCATGATTTGAACAATTTAGAATCTACACTACCCCACAATGCTTCCACATCAGTTTCAGCTTTTCTGGCCCAGTGGTTCTTGAGAAGAAGATTTTCTCAGATTTTTCCTATATATTTCTATGTAAAACTTTGATTCCCAATTGTGGCCCCGCCCTACCCCCTGGGGTCATGATTTGAACAATTTAGAATCTACACTACCCCAGGGTGCTTCCACATCAGTTTCAGCTTTTCTGGTCCAGTGGTTCTTGAGAAGAAGATTTTTAAAGATTTTTCCTATATATTTCTATGTAAAACTTTGATTCCCCATTGTGGCCCAGCCCAACCCCCGGGGGTCATGATTTGAACAATTTAGAATCTACACTATCCCAGGGTGCCTCCACATAAGTTTCAGCCTTATTGGCGCAGTGGTTCTTGAGAAGAAGATTTTTTAATGTCCCCACCCTATTTTTGTCTTTTCTTGATTATCTCCCCTTGTAAGGGGACTTGGCCCTTCATTTTAACAATTTCAATTCCCCTTCACCCAAGGATGCTTTGTACCAAGTTTGGTCAAAATTGGCCCAGTGGTTCTTGAGAAGAAGTCGAAAATGTGAAAAGTTTACAGACAGACAGACAGACAGACAGACAGACAGACGGACAGACGGACGGACAGACGGACGGACAGACGGACGGACGACGGACAAAATGTGATCAGAAAAGCTCACTTGAGCCTTCGGCTCAGGTGAGCTAAATATACCTCCCTCATCTACTTTATTGCCAAACAAGAGGCCCAGGGGCCACATCGCTCACCTGAGCAATTTGCTAGGAAAAAGCAAATATTAGATCTGAACTGAAAGTTTACTGAATTTGGGGGGGGGGGGCTTGAATTTTAACCTCCCAGGGGGTCATGGTTTGAACAAACTAGAATCTACACTCCCTGAGGATGATTCCATATAAATATCACTAAGCATGGATTTGAAGTTCTTGAAAAGAAGATTTTAAAAGGTTTCCCTATATATTCCTATGTAAAACTTTGATCGGCCATTTTGGCCCCACCCTACCCCCGGGGGCCATGATTTGAACAAACTTGAATCTATGCTACCTGGTGATGATTCCACATGAGTTTCTTCTTTCCTGGCCGAGTGGTTCTTCAGAAGAAGATTTTTAAAGATTTTTCCTATATATTCCTATGTAAAACTTTGATCGGCCATTTTGGCCCCACCCTACCCCCAGGGGGTCATGATTTGAACAAACTTAAATCTACACTACCTGGTGATGATTCCACATGAGTTTCATCTTTCCTGGCCGAGTGGTTCTTCAGAAGAAGATTTTTAAAGATTTTTCCTATATATCCCTATGTAAAACTTTGATCGGCCATTTTGGCCCCACCCTACCCCCAGGGGTCATGATTTGAACAAACTTGAATCTACACTACCTGGTGATGATTCCACATGAGTTTCATCTTTCCTGGCCGAGTGGTTCTTCAGAAGAAGATTTTTAAAGATTTTTCCTATATATTCCTATGTAAAACTTTGATCGGCCATTTTGGCCCCACCCTACCCCCAGGGGTCATGATTTGAACAAACTTGAATCTACACTACCTGGTGATGATTCCACATGAGTTTCTTCTTTCCTGGCCTAGTGGTTCTTCAGAAGAAGATTTTTAAAGATTTTTCCTATATATTCCTATGTAAAACTTTGATCGGCCATTTTGGCCCCACCCTACCCCCAGGGGTCATGATTTGAACAAACTTGAATCTACACTACCTGGTGATGATTCCACATGAGTTTCATCTTTCCTGGCCTAGTGGTTCTTGAGAAGAAGATTTTTAAAGATTTTTCCTATATATTCCTATGTAAAACTGTGATCGGCCATTTTAGCCCCACCCTTCCCCCGGGGGTCATGATTTGAACAAACTTGAATCTACACTACCTGGTGATGATTCCACATGAGTTTCATCTTTCCTGGCCGAGTGGTTCTTCAGAAGAAGATTTTTAAAGATTTTTCCTATATATTCCTATGTAAAACTTTGATCGGCCATTTTGGCCCCACCCTACCCCCAGGGGTCATGATTTGAACAAACTTGAATCTACACTACCTGAGGATGATTCCATATGTGTTTCATCTTTCCTGGCCTAGTGGTTCTTGAGAAGAAGATTTTTAAAGATTTTTCCTATATATTCCTATGTAAAACTTTGATCGGCCATTTTGGCCCCACCCTACCCCCAGGGGTCATGATTTGAACAAACTTGAATCTACACTACCTGGTGATGATTCCACATGAGTTTCATCTTTCCTGGCCTAGTGGTTCTTGAGAAGAAGATTTTTAAAGATTTTTCCTATATATTCCTATGTAAAACTGTGATCGGCCATTTTAGCCCCACCCTTCCCCCGGGGGTCATGATTTGAACAAAATTGAATCTACACTACCTGGTGATGATTCCACATGAGTTTCATCTTTCCTGGCCTAGTGGTTCTTGAGAAGAAGATTTTTAAAGATTTTTCCTATATATTCCTATGTAAAACTGTGATCGGCCATTTTAGCCCCACCCTTCCCCCGGGGGTCATGATTTGAACAAACTTGAATCTACACTACCTGGTGATGATTCCACATGAGTTTCATCTTTCCTGGCCCAGTGGTTCTTGAGAAGAAGATTTTTTAAAAATGCCATTAATTTTTCTCTAATTCATAATTATCTCCCCTTGGAAAAGGGCGTGGCCCTTCATTTGAACAAACCTGAATCCCCTTCACCTAAGGATACTTTATGGCAAGTTTGGTTGAAATTGGCCCAGTGGTTCTTGAGAAGAAGATGAAAATGTGAAAAGTTTACAACGACAACGCCGACAACAACGACAACGACGACAACGCCGACAACGACAGACAACGGACAAATTGTGATCAGAAAAGCTCACTTGAGCCTTTGGCTCAGGTGAGCTAAAAATGATAAATAAAATGCCTCCCACCCACATCTGTTTTGAAGAAAATTGGCCTGAGAACCAAAGAATTAAATTTAGAGAGCCTTAAGACCTAATACAATGAAAAACAAGTATATTTTGATACATTAAAATTGAGAATAATTTCAGAGAATTGAGTTTACCATATTCATGTAGTAGTTGGTAGTGTGCACATGATTAACAGGAGCAAACACCAGTAATGCTGGCCCCTTATCGATGGCAGTGGACAGTTCCAGACTTTTGTGTCCAGGCAAATTCAGCCACTGGACTATAGGCTGTAATGACAGATAAATATACTCATTATAGAGTTATACAAGTATTATTTGAAATAGCAAACATTTCTCCAAATAAATAAAGTTGTACACAATGATTCTCAAGGAGATGCAAATTTTAATGTTAAAATTAATTATGACTTACATATAAATACACAAAATAAAAAAAAATCCCTTTTAACAGCTTTTTTGAAGCCTTAGCAATGTTTGAATAAATTTCTTAGTGATGATGTGAAACTGTTTTCATTTCTAACATTTCTCATGGATTTTTTTTTTTAAATTAATGTAATCATAAAATTCAAGACTGCTCAATTTGAATGCTTTCATCATAAAATGTTGTGCAACTTCATTAAGACAATTTTAAGAGATAGTGAATTCAATTTTCATGACATAAAAATTCATAAAATATGGCTAATGGATGTAATAACCAGCAATCTAACAATGTTTGCTTCTGAAACATAACTCCTTGGAGAATCCATTTACGTGGCATACATAATACCCTGGGGATTATGGGTATTGAACAACTATACAAGCTGCACCTTTAAACTGCCATGAAGAATTTATTTCTATGGCAGTAAAACTTTATATGGCAGCAGCTCCATTAAATTTCTAATAACAGATCTCTTCTGAATGAATAATCATAGAAATGATAGAGTCATACATGTAAAAGCTTCCACACTTCTGATGCACATTTCTGAGAAAAACAGTGGGCTCATTATTTTTATCATTATCTCCCCTTCCTTAAGGGTTCCATCCCTGTATTTAGTATAAATTAGTGCCTTTGGGTTAAGGATAATCTGTGACAAATTTGAAAAAAAACTGTCAAGGTTTTTTAAATCATGGTATGGTCCATATTCCACAAAGTTGACACACACTGCACAAATGGCCATAGCATTAGCTCTTTGAGCCTTTGGCTCATAACAGCTAAAAATCCTAGATCTTCATCCTAATTTTTCAGGGGCAAATTGTGACAGGAAGGTGGATTTTATTTGTTTTATTGTACAAATATTGTGACAACGACTTCCTTGGGTACAGTCATTTTCAATCTTAGGATATTGAAGTTTGAGTTTGACCTACTTTTGAAAAACTTAATACCTTCCCATACTAAGATTCTGTTAGTACATGGATTCTGCTAATTTTTCCACATAATTCACTTATTTCACATGTTTATTCTTTTAATCAAGATTTTTCTATGTGTACCATTAATGGTATCACTATTATTTTTTTATGAGCTTGATCCTAACATTTGATCTTTTTCTGAAGAAAAAAACTTTCACTTGGCCTGAGCTGTCATGCAGGGGCATCAGTGTTTCACTTACAAACCTTGTTTTCTTCTGGCCTACTTCTAACATTACACTATCCCTGCCATGTTGAATGAGACACTAGAGAGTAATTTTAAGAAGTTTATAGTCCTGGACAAAACGCAAAAGCAGTTTAATCACTATCAAAAAGCTCCCTTGAAACATTGTGTCAAACAATAGAAGAACCCCAGGCAGCAGTGTAACTATACTGTGAGGGTGTAATGGCCACACTTAATCTTGTGTAAATCAATTATCAGAACTGATGTTGAATCATTATTATTATCAGAGGAAATAATACTTCCAACCTGTCTACCCCCATCATAGACCCCCTAAATCCAAAATGAATTAAATGGGAGATTATACTGAACAGAAAACAAAATTTCATTGCTACAATTATCATCATGCATGATGGTTTTAAAAAATGACAGAATATAATGGTTTTAGTTATGTGTTACAACTGGCTAAATTTATTTTTATGAGAAATAGAATAAAATAAGTCAGAAACTTTTAAGGTCAGTCATTTTTCTTTGTTAAAATCACATACAAAGTCACTATCTCCATCCAATTTAACTGTCCCACCAATTTAACTGATGATAATTACAAAATATCTATAAGACAGTTCCAAACCAATCTTTTTTTTTTAAACAAGAAGCCCTTTTTCCCATGGGCCTAGATGTTCCTCTTCCTGAGTATTAAGAGTTTCTTGGTTAGGCTATGACCACATAGGCCTAAATCACCCACTTGAGCTGAATCTTACATTGCGGGTTCAAATCCTTTACTGGAGGTGGAGATTGAACCTTCGAATGAGGCTGTATAAGCTGAGGTCCCCTTGTCACAGTGGATGCAGGCACCAAAAAGATACCTCACCGCTCAATGGCCCTGAGTGCCCAGTATAGGACAAAATTTGCAGCCCTGCCTCTGCAAGCAAGTGGTGGCATCTCCGTATGAGTGAAAAATTCTTGTGAGGGGTGTTAAACAGCAAACGTCTGCTCTCTTTAGATGGTATCCTGATAGTACATGTAATGCAATGGCTAGAGCATAATTTAGAGTTGCGGAATAACTTCGTGGGTTCGAATCATTGTGGACGTGGAGACTGGTCCTTCGGTTAAGAGTGTATTCACCAAGGACATGTGTTGCACGAAAAAAAAGATCACTCACTCCTCAATGGCCCTGAGTGCCCAGTATAGGTATAAATTTGCAGCCCGGCCTCCACCGGCAAGTGGTGGCATCTCCATGAGTGAAAAAGCCTTACCTAGAAAAGTGACTAGAATTCTGCACTTGTAGTGACTGAAGTTTTTGAAATTTCAGTTTTAAGCATACTTCTTTCCAGCATTGTTCACAAAGGCTTATGGTGTTGAATTTGCCACTGGTTTTAAGAAACTAAAGTTTTTAGTTTTTTTTTCATTTTTAAAATCACCATTTCAGTCACCTTTACAAAGCAACCTCAAAATATTTAGGCCAGTATATATTCCCCATCAATATTTATGCAAAGTTTAAAGAGTTAAAATCACTTAAATTACTTTAACGATTAATGGAAAAAAAAACCCTAGATGGTGGACAAATTTTCAAAGATGAAACACTTGCAATTTATTGCAGGGAGGTTACACTGGCTTTTAAAAATATCTTTTGGGCATCAATGTCTGATTTGTACATTGAGTATATGCTATTCATGACCCCATATGACAAGACGCCACCACACCAGCACATCACACCTGTGTGACTTACCTGTTCTTTGTGAAGAAGCGCCCACTTCCATATATTGGTACTGGTTAGATTACTGGTCCTGGGATACAGCTACAAATGAAAAAAAAAAAAACCGGGGTATTATTTCAATAATTTATTTAACAATATGATGAAAGTGCTTCATATTAGGAAACTAAATATATTATCATGTTGAAATGTCAAAGATTTATCACTGGTAGATATTACATGTACATATGATGCAAACAAATTCTATGGGGAGTATCCCCTCGTGAGCTCTTGATAAAATCACTTTTAAGATAAAGATATTTCCTTAGCTATATAAATTTTTCATTTAAATTTGTTTACATTTTTTAAATATTTATTTTCTCCCTAATTTCTTGAGTCCAGAAAGGAAACAGAGTTATCTCTCTTTGACTGTGACAAACTGAAACAATGTACTTACAAGTGATTCATTAAAGGTTCTAATCATAATTATCTCCCCTGTATCTTTCAAACCCAGCTCATCAGCCAAGAACCGCTGGGTTATAACACCACATCTGATTGGCTGGAGTGGGTCTGTAAACAAAATCATATACTACCGTTGATTTCACAATCATTTCATGTAAATTTTTTGCAATGCAACTTTGTGTTATAAAAATTGCTCAAATGTGCTAATACATCCAAAAATGGATTTGTCCTCCGGCGTTGATTCAGGTTCTAACAAAATTATTGTATGAATTTTTTTTTTTAATTTATTGGCATACAAATATTCCTTTACTGTCTTTTACTTTATTTAGCACGATTAGTCCAGCACATCTCTGTTCTTTTATTACTGCAGGTGTCATTACAGTATTTCATTTACATGTATCATCAATTCAATTCACAACATGGCCGACAAAATAATTCCTTAATCTCCACCCCCCACCCCTTATTTAAGCTTTATTTCAGGTTAATTTAGTCATAGTCAGATGAACATCTGGACCTCCCAATTCTCAGTTGACTGGTTAGAATAATCAAACTGTGTCTCAGGGTTGGGTTCATAGGACTGTTATCATTTTGATGATAGAACATTATATCTATGATAAGACTGATTGAGCAAGGTCTTATCATTTTAAATTACAGTAAATGATAACTTTTGGAAAATTGTGATCATTACTTACTTTTTTCCAGCAATCTGATTGCTGCGTAGTAAAACTGTATAAATCCTGGTGGTTGTGGTGAGGAATTGAATTCAAAAAATCCAATGAGGGAATTCTACAAAATAAAATAAATCGGTGACAAGGAATGAATTGACTAGTTTTTTGATTTTGAAAGAACATTAATTTTTTAAAAATACACATGTACATGTATTTGATGCTAGACAAACTGTCAATTTAATACTACATCTGATAGAACCAAAACAAGAGGCCCATGGGCCACATCGCTAACCTGAGAAGCTTTGAACATTCTGTTCTTTACCAGATTTCACCCTTGTTATACATATTGTGACCCCTCCCTACCCAACTGATCATAATTTAAACAATTTGAAATCTACACTACCATGGGATGCTTTGATTCAACATAGTAAAACTTTGATTCCCCATTGTGGCCCCACCCTACCCCCGGGGGTGAACATGAATATAGAACAATTTAGAAACTATTCCCCGAGGGCTTGCCCGAGGGGAGTAGTTCCTGTCAAGGGTTTGATGAAAGAGCTATCCCACTCACAACCAGTGGATAAGTGTTTTATTATACTGATGTATATTATAATTTCTAAGATTTGAATTTTCTTTGAAGAATACTGCAAGAATGAGCTGAAATCCTGGATGACGTCAGTGAAGTGACATCATCAGACTATGGATTTAACGCTGGAAATGAAAATTGGCGGCAAAAATTGAAGATTAATGTTCCTATATATATTTCTTTATATGTAAAACTTGGCCCAGTGGTTCTTGCGAAGAAGATTTTTCCAAAAATTTTTCTATGTAAAACATTGATTCCCCATTGTGGCCCCGCCCAACCCCCGGGGATCATGATTTGAACAATTTAGAATCTACACTACCCTGTGATGCTTCCACATAAGTTTCAGCTTTTCTGGCTCAGTGGTTCTTGAGAAGAAGATTTTCAAAGATTTTTCCTATATATTGCTATGTAAAACTTTGATCCCCCATTATGGCCCTGCCCAACCCCCGGTGGTCATGACTTTAACAATTTGGAATCTACACTACCCCGGGATGCTTCCACATAAGTTTCAGCTTTTCTGGCCCAGTGGTTCTTGAGAAGAAGATTTTTAAAGATTTTTCCTATATATTTCTATGTAAAAGTTTGATTCCCAATTGTGGCCCTGCCCAACCCCCGGGGATCATAATTTGAACAATTTAGAATCTACACTACCCCGGGATGCTTCCACATAAGTTTCAGCTTTTCTGGCTCAGTGGTTCTTGAGAAGAAGATTTTCAAAGATTTTTCCTATATATTGCTATGTAAAACTTTGATCCCCCATTATGGCCCTGCCCAACCCCCGGGGGTCATGACTTTAACAATTTAGAATCTACACTATCCTAGGATGCTTCAACATAATTTTCAGCATTTCCTGCCCAGTGGTTCTTGAGAAGAAGATTTTTAAAGATTTTTCCTATATATTTCTATGTAAAACTTTGATTCCCCATTGTGGCCCTGCCCTATCCCCGGGGGTCATGATTTTTACAATTTAGAATCTACACTTCCCCAGGATGCTTCCACATAAGTTTCAGCTTTTCTGGCCCAGTGGTTCTTGAGAGGAAGATTTTCAAAGATTTTTCCAATATATTTCTATGTAAAATTTGATTCCCCATTGTGGCCCCACCCTACCCCTGGGGGTCATGATTTGAACAATTTAGAATCTACACTACCCCAGGATGCTTCCATATAAGTTTCAGCTTTTCTGGCCCAGTTGTTCTTGAGAAGAAGATTTTTTTTATGACCCCACCCTATTTTTGTCTTTTCTTGATTATCTCCCCTTGTGAGGGGACTTGGCCCTTCATTTTTATAATTTTAATTTCCCTTCACCCATGGATGCTTTGTACCAAGTTTGGTCAAAATTAACCCAGTGGTTCTTGAGAAGAAGTCGAAAATGTGAAAAGTTTACAGACGGACGGACAGCTAGACGGACGGACGGACAGACGGACGACGGACAAATTGTGATCAGAAAAGCTCACTTGAGCCTTTGGCTCAGGTGAGCTAATAAAATTTAGAGGAGTGAAAGTGTAAATACCTTCTGTACATTTAAACATAAAGGGATTTTTAGAAATACATGTAATGAAATGATTTTTTCAAATGCAATTACATGTACTAAAAACCTAATATCTGTCACTCATTTTTTATTTTCTTACATACTTAAAACAGTTAATCTTAGGAAATACTCACATCTTGTTTTGAAACAAAATTCAGAATCATATCTTCTGAGTACAGAAAGGTCAGGGGATACATCAGATCTTCCACAAACCGGATAATGTATTCCGCTAATATAGGACCTACAGGAAATAGGGTACAGGTAAGTAATTACAGACTGATTTAGTAAGATCATAACACATAGTATGGGGTCCAGTTACTTCGAGAAAAATCAATAATATATTCTGAAAGCAGTATTTGGCTATAATTAATTGATGAAGTATTGAATTCTAGGTTAGTCCTGAAAAAATATTTATGTTTATCTTAAGGAACATCAATTGAGAAACATTTTGGATTCATTATTACTAGTTTAACTGTTTGCTTTTTTTCTCCCTACTCATCCAGATAAAATACAGATAAATTATTTAATATTTAAACTGCACGGTTTTTTAAATTGACAAGCAGGAACATTCATTCTTTTAAATACACGTAACTGTGCCTCTTTTTAAAAATTTTAAGTAATAATTTATGAATCAGTATTTGTACGCATGAAATACAAGCTAAGCTGTTTAAACTGAATCAATAAACAATATAATGGTAAAAATTTACTTGGATTTCTTTCAACAAAATTTCTTAAACATGTAGTTCTATTATATACAAACTTTATTTAGAATATTTTTTTTACCGTTAATTTTCAGCCATATTACCATGGAAGAAAAAACAAAAATGTAAAATTGAATTTTTGTTTGTATTGTGTCTTTCAAGATTTTGACAATTTAACTAAGGATGTCAATTTTACTCGGACAGCTAAGTCGAATAGTTGGATGCTTTAGTCGAACAATAGTCGAATTGTTTAATTTTAATTAATTTTTCATATGACCTTCACTGTTTGTCTTTTACAGACTAGTTTACAATATTTAATCTACGCTATCACCATTATACAACGAATTTCTGAATTGTAAACATGTACGTAGTACAACAGAAACTGTGTATCAATATGTATCCAATGTAATTAATTTCAAAATTAATATATTAGCTGCTCATTTTATCTAAATGCAGGATATCAAAAGCTCGTATTTGTCCTTTCTTGACATAATGGTAGTACATGTACCCCATAATTGAAGCCAATTTCTATGTGTCCGTCAATGATCTTTCACAGGTAAACAATTAAAGCGTGTCTCTTATAAAAACAAAGAGAAAAAGATAGCTTGGTATTAATTTTAACTATGAAATTTTGTGCAAACAATCAAAGATTGCATGAAATTAATATCAGAAAAAGAAAACACGGTTTAATTACTCTCATATTTACGTGTATTTTGTAGATATGTTTGCCGAAAATACATCGACGTACAAATAATTTCCTTTGAACAGTTATACCATACCCTTAATTATTACATATGAAAATATTGATCTGTAAATAAATGAAATGGGCATATATAAGTTTAAATTCAATATTACTTTGATGAAACACTTTTTAACGAATAACCGACTAAAGAAATTTTAGTCGATAGTCGGTATGATCGAACGATAGTCGAGTACTCGAATATTCGTTGACATCCCTAAATCTAACTAATCAACAAACCTGTGTAACGAATTCCATCAATGGTGGTATGATAAACAAAGATCTCAGGATATCTGTGGAACTTGTAGTTGGTCTTGCATGCCCCCTGAGGCCACCAACAGTTGATAGCTACAAATGGTACCTGGGACGAAAAAAAAGAATAAATGACTTTGTTACATGTAAATCAGGGACCCACATCAGTCTCGTGATATCTTGTAGAATGTGGGATTTTAATTAAATATATCTCAAATATTATCAAATATTTAAGAATAAAACCTTTATTTATCTATCAAAACATTATTCAAGATTTGGTTTTGGCACTGTTTATAGTCCTTATCTTAGTAATAATTACGTTTATTTCAAAATCAGCAAGTGCCCCTGATCGGCCACTTTTTCTTTAAGTATTTTGAATCCTTGGATATCTCAAGGGTTCTTCTCAGTTTCTTTAGTTTGAGACAATGAGGTTTGACTCTTTTTTATACTCATGGTGTCATAGAATCCTTACTTTATCCTGCAGGAACCTTGCTGCTTTTGAGTACTCTGCTCTTGTTCGCATCGACTCATCACACCAAGGGGCATAATACAGGACAACAAGTAGTTCCTTCTTTATCAAAAGGTCTGCCACCGGCATTAAGTCACCCCAGGGGTAATCCAAAACTGACGACCCGGGAGGGAAAAATGGTTTGGGGTGTTTGGGGGGATGCAATACATTTTTTTCAAGGACACTGAAATAAAAAATATACAAGATTTTTCAAGATTTGGTGTTTTAACTTAGTACTGTATATCAAGAACTGTTTGCCCCCTTTTATTTTCGCCCCTTTCATCCTATTCACAGATGGGTGAAATTAAAACAGGGCAAATTCATAAAACACAGTGTAATTTTCTAAAAAGAATTGTGATTGGGGGAATTTAAAACCAACCAAAAGTGAGAGAGTGAAGGACGAAAATAACATGGGGTGAACATAACTTTTGTATACAGTATTTCTTTCAATACTTGATGTTTCACATTGTTGTAACAGTTACATATGTCAGAAGGAGGTGAGTGGTTTCAGCTAAACTATTCACTCAGCTGAACAGGTTTAACAGATATTTTTATCGTGTAGATAATACATTTACATAAAATAAATTATTAAATGTTTATCCAGTATAAACAAACAATGTTCATTAATTCAAATATATATGATACCAAGGATAGACCACGAAAGCTTGAAAGCTTTTTTTCCATTGGGATCCTTTGCAGGGATGATTGTGTGAGGGCGTCATTTCTGTTGGAGGACTTTGCGGAATCAAGATCATGTAAACATAATGAATAACAGACAAATTTTTTGGCTTTCATGACCATTATTAATCGATTGACTTGATCGACAGTTTTATGTTTAAACGTCTTCAGCGTTTATGCAAATTATCATGCAAGTCAATCATTTGATCACATCAAGAAACCAAAAATTTAGAGTTGTTCCTTGAATGAAATTCCTTACATGTACCATCATCCAGAAGATTCTCTTAAAGCTTTTAAGTTCAGAACCAACTCCTAAGTAAACAAGTCAACTTATTTCTCCATTTCAATTGAATGTCAAACAAATACATTCGTGAATATTTCCATTGACGTGTCATTATTGTTTGAGAAAATTCGAACGCAGGCTGTTTTAATGCACACGATATTTTCTTTAAGAACATGCAAAATAAAATGCAACTAAGTAATGCACAACTGTTTTCATTTACATAAAAATAAGAACATATAAACAAGTTTTACTATAACCATATGTCATCTGATTTTGAAAGTGCAAGTTGAAAATGAAAGTTCCATCAAGTCTTGTTTCTTATTATACTGATGCTAATTTGCTATTTCTTCTCTTACCTTGAACTGTAATTAGAAATTATGGATGTGATTATCACAAAAATTCCGAAACATAACTCAGGATGTTTCGCCATCAAAGTTAAAATAGTAGTGGCAACGAGTCGTAATCCCCTTGGCTTCTCTTGTTTTGGTTCCGCCATTGACTGTAAACCACGTCAGTTTTACAAATCTCACTTTCGACGAGAGTCAACTTTGTCAAATTGGCGCCAAATATCAAACTTAATGCTTAATTAATTTTTTAACAGACAGTTTCAACAGGGATACAAATAATATATATATGAAATATGATTTTGAAAAATCAGTCATAATTCACCAAAAATTTATTAGATATTTCTAATTTTGAATAATAAAATAAATAAACGAAAGAAAGAGAGCAGCTAGATCTGAGATCCAATATACGTACGGTTCTGTAATCATATTTTAATAGAGGGGATCTACATCGATTGGGAATTTTATTGTCTATTATCTATCACCAGTCTCCCTTAAACATTTTTGAAAGTTATATATATGCATTTCGTAAAGTTATGGTCGAAACAATATTACCTTGTCAGCAAATACAATACAATACTTTAAGTCAAATGCTGACTGAATTTTTTCATACTATTAAATTGTTAGATTATTTAAACACACTTAAGTTGTCAAAGGATTTTCCTTTCAGTATTTCAGATTGCAGTCATGACAAGGAGCACACGGCGGGCAAGACCTATCGGCAGGGGATGCTCATTCCTCTGTGACATCTGATCCCACCTCTAATGATCCTTCCTATGACGTTTTAGAGGTCAAGTATTTGCTCTACTCCTGATTTACATTGTTTGAATCAGTTTGTTACTTTTTGCATTTCATTCAACTCGTCTGTTAAAAATACAAAATCGCATGTTAACGTTTTAATTGATTGTAATTGTTTGACACCAAATCGGCAAAATTTCATCCATAATTCTGTAGTAAAAATTTATGTACTCGGTTTGATGTTAACGTTAAGAGGGGGTGATAAAGTCTTTCCCTGTCTTCACATTATTTCGGGGGGGGGGGGGGGGGGGGATATCACAATAAAGAAAAGGGAAAATATTTCAGACATGTCATTCTAATGCCAAATTAGTTAAGCCTGTTTTATAGAAAATGTCCAACATATCGAATTAAATAGCTCACTTATTTGTTAGTAAATGTATCTAAAAAATTATAAAATTTACATAGAATAGAAACGATTGGGGGGGGGGGGGTATCAGATTGGACATACTGTAGACGTACTTTTTTCCACGGGGTCATAATTCCGCGGAATCTCAATTTCTGTTTAATCCGCGGGTAGAAAATTACGCGGATTTCCTAGACTGTCACTATATGCCTTACATTTATATTAAGTACGCTTGGACAAATTTCCGCGGAAATTTTGTGACTGCATACATAGCGTAAATTAATACCACGCGGAAAAAAGTACTTATACAGTAATCGAAAGGACCACATTATTGCACCATTAAACAAGAGGCCCAGTGGCCACAGCGCTCACCCGAGCACACCGGCTAGGAAAAAGCAAATATCAGATCATAACTGAAAGTTTACTGAGGGAGGGGCTTAAATTTTAACCCCCAGGGGGTCCTGATTTGAACAAACTAGAATCTACACTACCTGAGGATGATCCCATATAAATATCACTAATCATGGCTTTGAAGTACTTGAAAAGAAGATTTTAAAAGATTTCCCTATATATTCCTATGAAAAACTTTGATCGACCATTTTGGCCCCACCCTACCACCGGGGGTCATGATTTGAACAAATTTGAATCTACACTACCAGGATAATTCTAAATTAGTTTCATCTTTCCTGGTCCAGTGGTTCTTGAGAAGAAGATTTTAAAAGATTTTTCCTATATATTCCTATGTAAAACTTTTAACGGCCATTATGGCCCCACCCTAGCCCCGGGGATCATGATTTGAAAAAAAAATTGAATCTACACCACCTGAGGATGATTCCACACGAGTTTCATCTTTCCTGGCCAAGTGTTTCTTGAGAAATGGCATTTTTATCAAAAAATCTTCTTCTCAAGAAACACTTGGCCAGGAAAGATGAAACTCATTTTTCTCTAATTCATAATTATCTCCCCTTGGGAAAGGGCGTGGCCCTTCATTTGAACAAACTTGAATCCCCTTCACCCAAGGATTCTTTGTGCCAAGTTTGGTTGAAATTGGCCCAGTGGTTCTTGAGAAGAAGATGAAAATGTGAAGAATTTACGACGACGACGTGACAGACAAAGGACAAATGATCACTTGAGCCTTCGGCTCAGGTGAGCTCATACGAAAACGAAGTTTGCATTGTTGCATGTGCTTGAATAAATGAATAAAAACAGTTACATCAGATTCGGTAATTCACAAAGGTTTGCTGGTAAAGGTACCAGTATGTTAAAACACGAGTTCATCAAAGCTGAGAAGCTTAACCTCCCAGAATTAATTTACAAAAGTTGTTGTCAAAACAAAAGAGACCGTTGAATACTAATATAACACCGATAGTTTTTCTCCCAATCAAATATTAATATAAAAACCTCTTATAAATAGTCAGAGCTAAACGAAAACATTATTGTTAATCAAGATTCCTAATTCATACCAAAACGTAGTTACTAGGAACGCCACTTTCGAGGCATTGGAACATTCTTATTGTTTTGATATTTGGATTAATTGGAGGCAATGTATTTTTTTCTTTTTATTTTTAATGATTTTAAAACTTGCCATAAGTTTGCTTAAGAACTTCAATAGTAACAGAATGTGACTTGAGGTTAAGAATGTATCCGATTTTACTGACCCCAATGATGGATCAATTAACATCTCATTCAAAAAGTCCCGTACAGGGATCAGTGACAAAGCACGACAAGGTTACTGAGTTGAGATTCACAGTCACAGGCTTACAACCATGCAACAAAAATTTAAACACAAAAAAATCTAGAAAACCCCTTTCCCTCCACTACACACTAATGCGCACTCTCACACACTGAAATACATATTAAAAAATATAATACTCGATCCTTGAAGTGTATGTATGAACTATATTGAAGTACAATATTTGTAAATAATTTTAAATAAATTTTATTCCTACCCTATGTATGAGAAGAAAAAACTTAAGTCTTCATTTTTCTGAGTGAAAAAATATTAATACTTTTTTGAAGAGTTTATTTTTATTAAACAATATGATATGCGGGCATTTATGTAAAATGTTGTAAAGAAAAGTACTGGCGCCACAGTCAGTGGCCCTTGGCATAATGCATTATGATTTATTTCGTTGAAATAATTAAATACAATCTTTTTGACAAAACAAATGTTCAAGATTGTTCATGATAAAGAGTAAAACCATAACTTTTGATTAATTTCGTATTTAATAAACAAATTCTGTAAACTTTAGAAGTAAGTTCAAGTAACTGAAATTCAGAATCATAAAAAACTAAAACTTATAAAAATTTATCTCTTATATAGGTTTTTGGGTAGGGAAATTCATTTGAAAAAATAATAAAAGAACCTAGTCCCTTTCCCCCACCCCCTAAACCCAGTGAAAGAGAGAGGAGTGAGAGTGGGGAGAGAGAGGAGTGAGAGTGGAGAGAGTAAGTAGTGAGAGTGGAGAGAGTGAGTAATGAGAGTGGAGAGAGGAGTGCGAGTGGAGAGAGATAGAGGGGGGATGAGAGTGGGGAGAGAGAGGAGTGAAGATGGAGAGAGAGGGGGGATGAGAGTGGAGAGAGAGGAGTGAGAGTGGAAAGAGAGAGAGGGGGGATGAGAGTGGGAAGAGAGAGGAGTGAGAGTGAAGAGAGAGGGAGGAGTGGTAGGGGTGAGAGGAGATAGAGAGGGGTGAGAGTTGAGAGAGATAGGGGAGTAAAGAGAGAGAGAGAAGGGAGTGAGAGTGGATAGAGAGAGGAGTGAGAGTGGGGAGAGGAGTGAGAGAGAGGAGTGAGAGTGGGGAAAGAGAGGGGAGAGTGAGAGTGGGGAGAGAAAAGAGTGAGAGTGGGGAGAGGAGTGAGAGTGAGGAGAGAAGAGAGAGGAGTGAGAGTGGGGAGAGAGAGAGAGGAGAGTGAGAGTGGGGAAAGAGAGAGAGAGAGGGGGATGAGAGTGGGGAGAGAGAGGAGTGAGAGTAGGAAGAGAGAGGAGTGAGAGTAGGAAGAGAGAGGAGTGAGAGTGGAGAGAGATAGGGGTGAGAGTTGGGAGAGAGTGGATTGAGAAAGGGGGAGAAAGGAGTGAGAGTGGAGAGAGAGAGGAGTGATAGTGGAGAGAGAGGGGGTGAGAGTGGGGAGTGAGAGTGAGGAGAGAGAGGAGGGAGGAGTGAGAGTAGGGGAGAGAGGGGAGTGAGAGTGGATAGAGAGAGGAGTGAGAGTGGGAAGGGAGAGAGGAATGAGAGTGGCTAGAGAGAGAGGAGTGAGAGTGGAGACAGAGAGGGGAGAGAGTGGATTAAGAAAGGGGGGTGAAAGAAGTGAGAGTGGATAGAGAGAGAGAAGTGATAGTGGAGAGAGAGAGGGGAGAGAAAGAGGGGTGAGAGTGGAGACAGAGAGGGGTGAGAGTTGGGAGAGAGTGGATTGAGAAAGGGGGAGAAAGGAGTGAGAGTGGAGAGAGAGAGGAGTGATAGTGTAGAGAGAGAGAGGGGTGAGAGAAAGAGTGGTGAGGAGAGAGAGGAGTGGGGAGAGAGAGGAGTGAGAGTGAGGAAAGAGAGGAGTGGAGAGATTAAGAGTGGGGAGAGAAAGGAGTGAGAGTGGGAAGAGAGAGAGAAGAGTGAGAGTTGGAAGAGAGGGAGGAGTGAGAGTTGGGAGAGAGAGAGGAGTGAGAGTGGGGAGAAAGAGAGAGTGAGAGTGAGAGTGAGAGAGAGGGTGAGAGGGAGAGAGTTGAGAGTGGGGAGGGAGAGAGTTGAGAGTGGGGAGAGTAGAGAGAGTGGACTGAGAGTAGGGGAGAGTAAAGAGGGTAGTGATAATGGGGAGAGGGTGATAAGAGAGAGGAGGGGTTGAAAAGGAGAATGAGTAGAGGCAGTGTGGGGAGATAGGAATGAGAGCTGTGAGGGAGAGAAGGGTGGGAGATTTTCAAAAAGGAATATAGAATTGTTGGAGTAAGAGTATGTCTCACAAAGTTCTATTTTTGAAACATAAAACAAACACTGAATTTAAAATAATGGATTCAAAGATGACTGAGAGAAAAAAAGCACACAGAGTAATGCTAGTATTACTCTCGAAACTTCCTCATTAGCACGCTCCTGTTGTTTTAGAAAATACAGTATGTACATCATAAAAAGTTGAATGTAATTTTCTCCCTCAATACCCTTCAAAAGTAATATACCTTGAATATAGGCTGAATATCAGTACTCAGACATACCAATCTGTCTTAAATTTTTATTTACACAGACGTAATAGAAAATACTGATACTTTTATGGCACCCTCGCCAGTTATTTATTTACCATTTGATTTGCCTCGTGAGTTTTAGTTACACGGTACTATCATGTAAGGTCCTTTGCTGCACAGATTGATCAGGCCTTTATAAAGAATCGATACAGAAAGTTAATTTTGTTTACGTTGATATTAATAATCTCCTCAGTGAATCTATCAATTTCGGTCCTTCAACCTCACTTAAGGCCCCCATCGCTCATAGCACAGACTCGCTGCTCTTGAGCAATTGTATCAGAATTCATGATGGAAATCTTAATCCAATTTTGGTCGTGCTACCGGGCTCTCTTTTTTATCTGTATTAGTAAAGAGAACGTTTGAGTACTATTGATTCCCCAAGCTTTTCCTATGCCGCCTCAACGCCAATAGATCGATAAATACAACAAACAAGGCTCTTGTATCACTGCCTTCTTGTTACTGAACATTATTTGCACTAATGTGCATCTACGTGTATTTTACAAACGGCAGAGGATGAAACTAAATTCTAGTTTTGACGTAAAATCGCCTACTTGTTTTGTCTATTTGGTTTGCTACATCATCATTCGACTGGAAGCAAACACTTGCCAACTAATGAGTCAACTCTGGTTTTCTTTCTGAGCTGATTATGGTGAATAATATATACAACAGGTGAGAACTTCTTTCTCATTATTACAGGTTATTGTAATTTTTAGAAGTAAAAGAGTAATTTAGAGTAATTTTGTTTTCATTGATACATCAAACTTTGTCTGGTCTACAATGATGTTGCAACGTACTTCAGAAAGAAAGAAAAGATTATTCATTGTTTTGTATACAATGTTACAAACAGGTAACTGTACAATGTCATTGAACTCATTTTATTGATATATATTTTCAGCAGACGATGGCTAAATGAATAATGCACACTGTTATTTCCTGGAGAAGTCGACCAGAAGCACGCCGGTACATCCGGTACGAGAATCCCTGTATAGTTCTTCTTGGCAACGCCATTTGCTACGTAATATCCGGTCTCATCCTATTGGTCGTGGGGGTCATCATTACGTCACTTACATTTCAAAATTTGGAACGCTATGAACATGAGAAAACCGAGAGATATGCAGGTCCTATACTGATTGTTGTTGGGATCTTAATACTTGCTCGTGGTGCCTTCAGTCAAATCAAAGCCAAGAGGGCCAACAGCCAACAGAGCTTTGTCATCAGAAGTTACACAGGAGAGCTTCTGACTCGTCCTATTATGGAGGTGAATACTTTTAAATTAGTTATTGTAGTGGCTCTACATAATGCTACATATTTTTATTTCAAAGTTCTCCTGTTTAAAAACAGTTTCTTAATATTTGCAAGTTCTACTTAAAGTCTTTTTACAATACTGTCTTTTAATCAAGACTAATTGTTACTACGTATTTTAGAAAACCTTGCTTAGTTCTATACTCATATCCGGAAATCCTACTAATTATGCATAATACTCCAATTTCACTTGCTAATGATGAAATTATTCAAAACATCATTCTCAATTTCTATACTTTTAACGTTCAAGTCAACGTATGCTAGTTTCATCTCCCCTACCTATTCTTGACTCCTAAACCTTATTTACATGGAAACATAGCAGAGTTGCTCTACCAAGCTCCTATCTTTTTTCACACAAAAATGTAATCTGCAAAGCAGGGAATATTTTTATTATGAAAATCATATATAGTTTAGATTTTTGATATCAAAGGCACTTTGTCTTCAAAAACAATGTCACTCGGAATTTTTTTATATCTTGCGATTGGTCATTTGCAAAATATCTTTGTTAAAAATCATAAATGGTTCTACACACAAGTACTCTGAGCCCCTTTTTGGCAACAACCATGGAGTGACGTTGAAGTAAAAATCCTGCTGTAATTGCAATGGGTACTTATTGTTCTCCTTTATTAGCCGACTCTGTTTTAAATGAAGATAATGTATAGAAAAATCTTCTATGTGAAAAGAAAATCTACCGGTCTTTGACCTTTTAATATTATTCTAAACATTCACACAGTTTTATCATTTTAAAATACATGTCAAGATTCAGCTTTTTCATCTCCAGCTTTCCTTTTTGTGAAGCGATATTCCACTTTTACCGGTAATTTAACTAAATTTGGTAACGGATTATTGCGTATGTTTCATCAACACGAATGGCTTAAGGCGCGTTTGATTGGACGATAGGGCATGCTCACTCCTCCTAAGCATCTGATCCCACTTAAGGAATTTCCAGGGGTCCATGTTTTATGTCTTATTCACATTGTTTGTATGTTTCATAAAGATAGATCATTGGTCGTTTCACCTTTTACAATTAAGTCGAACAAAGTTAAAAAAAATTAAGTGTAATTTAATTTTGAATTAAGATTTGAATAAAATGGTATTTGAATATCTCAATAAGAAAAAAAATGTTTGCTCAGTTCACTTAATTTCTATTTGTTCATGTAACAATACAGTTAAAAATGAAAATAATATTCATAGCTCATTGAAGTATGTAGACACTGCTACATCTCATTAAAGTATCCTAATCGTCAAAATTATTTTCGTATTTCATTTTTGATCAAATAAACATGCAGTTTATTTAGCAGTCAATTAGGAAAAAGACAAGTTTAGAAATGACAAATAAGCGAGAAAGCTTCGAAGGTTTCCGCCACATATGCAACTATTGTTATTACATATTCTGCATCTTAGTCATAACCAAATGTCTGTATCCCTTTATAGAAAACTGAATAGTGATTTATTGTCAATGATTAAATGATACTGCAATAAAGTCAAGATGGAATCGTCAGAAATCTATAGACGATTCAATTACATCTTCACTAACATCATTTACAGTATCGAAATTCTATATCCATGATTATTTTTTCAATGACTGTATGCATTATTTTTTTTATTTTTAGTACAGCAGCAATTCTTTAACAATGTGCAGTGTTGGTATTTCTGAGACGCACGAGTACCCAAGGTAAATATTGTTTAAGATTATAAATCTTTAATGCAAACCTATTTTTTTTATTTGAGGCTAAATACATAGGGTACTATATTCTGACCAGGTTATCCATATATGACGACGAACCACCTGCTTACCATACCGTGATTGGCAGTCAATGTCACGTGGTCCAGACACGTGACGAATCTACCCAATCACCAGAAGATTATGCAGATCCTCCACCCACGTATGAGGAGTTTATCCAGCATGCAACTGACACCAACGATACCTCGTCAGAGTCTAACAGTCTTCCAGAAATCGCCTCGCAGAGCAAGAGTGGCCATTGAAGTCCGCCAAAAGAATAAGCTCTCTATGCAAGACACCATCATCACCGGCTGCCAGTATTCATTTGTACATGTATATATTTCAATCTCTGCCTACGGGATTTTTGTGTCAAAACATAAATAAAAAATGATTAATAAAGACACTTTTTTTATGTTATAGCATGATATTAAAGATGGAGCCTTGCTAGCAATGTTAAAACTGTATGTTGCAACTAAAGGAGTTTGGGGTGTCAAGGTTTTCGCAAATAAATACAATGCGAGTTATTATAATACCCAAATACAACGATTTATGGTATTCTTCTTTTGTTTTATTTTTACAGAACATTTATAATTTATGCGGGTTATTTTTTTCTGATTTTATATTTTGGGAATGTGTTTGCAATTCTTTAAGGCCTCTGAAATTTTCTTGCAAAGTTTAATAACATCATGTTTTTCATTAAATTCTGCTGATATTTTATAATTGAGAGTTACTCGGTATGACATATTCCTCATACGTGTACATGAGCTTTATTTGAAAAAGACGATGTTCTCTGTATATGAAATATATGGAAGTAATAGTATATAAAGCAGTGATGCCAAAGGTATTTCATCTTGTTAAAAAAAACAAATTTAGAGCAGAATAAATACGGATCTCCAAAACAACAGAGGTGGGATCAGGTGCCATACACTGTATATATTTTTTGCTTTAATTTCAAGTACAAACCTTTGTTCAGACCACAATTTCTCCCGTTTATTGGTACAGTTTTCCCTTTTTCTTAAAAAAAAAAAAAAGTATTTTTGAGTCCTCTTGACATTCTGAAAATATGTACAAGAATTTTGTGCAGAGTCCAAAACGATACCCACGACCTGATGGTACTTGCTTGATTTGAGACTGAGATATTGTTTTCGAAATATTCTGTAATAAATACAAATAAAGAGATTGAGATATTGTTTTCAAATTATTCTTTAAATACCTGTACAAATAAAGAGATTGGTAGGGGACCTCTAATTTTAGTGAAGGTTGATAAACAAATAAGTTCCTCTCTGCATCCTGGCAGTATTTTATAAATCTTTTATTTTAAATATCTAAAAGCAAATTCACTTCGTCTTCTCTTTCTGGCCACAGGAACAAAATTTTGGAAAAATCGTTATAAGAAATGGACTGAGAAACATTACTCACATATACATGAGAACAGCTTCTATGGGTATAAAACATTTAAGTGAGGCCAACCTTAGAATTATGATCGTTTTCCTTTAATCCCAAATCGGTCTGAAAAAATCGAATAGCGGGAATTTTCAGCGGAGTGCTAACTTTGGCTTAGTTTAGAAGTTTTGAAGTAGTCCAATCAAATTCAATTACCTTGCTAAATTTGGGGTCGGTAGGTAAGTGAAAATTGTTTCTTCTCTCAGAAAATTACTATATCAATACATATTTGGAAATTCTAGTTTCCAGGGTTCATAAAAGATACTAATTTAAAAAAAAATGTTGAGTCCGGCCATTTTTAGCCAGTCGGTCGGGAGAAGGCAATTAAACAAGTTTTAAAGATTGTCTGATCTTTTCTTCATCAATTCATTACGTAAGAAATGAATTCATTTTTTCTGCTCATTGAAGTACGTGTAATATTTAAGCATTGAATTAATATTTTTGGATGTCTTCGGTCCTGCAACACACCTGGCCGCGCCGACAAATTGAATAGCGCGGTATGATAATTTGTCGGCACGGCCAGGTGTGTTATAGATTATAGGACCGAAGACATCCAAAAATATGTAATTCATTGCTTATATTTACATTCCCTAATTTTTCTTCTTCATAATTGCTTATTTCGTTAATCTTAAATGTGATTTTAGCGCCCTTTAAGGACGTTCGATCCTGAGCTTTTGAGTGGATTTTGGTCATGTCCTTTATTTATAAAATTCTGCATTATTTAGTTTTAAGAACAGTTATCTTTCCAATAGGTGTTAAATATCTCTTACTCCACTGACTAATTATAGATTTTATTTGTCTTAATTTTGGTTCATAATTGAGTCTTTCAACTTCATTCAAATCAACATCATAATGAATTCCAAGTAAGGTAAATCTTGTACATCCCCATTTAAGATTATACTCATGACTTAGTATTTCTTGACTAAATCTTTTGGAACCAATCCAAACTGCATGGGATTTTGAACAGTTGATATATAAACCAGACGTTTCGGAAAATTTCTCTAATGTTTTCATCACTTCTGTCAATGATTCTTTGCTACCGTCTAAAAGGATTGAGGTGTCATCTGCTAATTGGGATATTTTCTTTTCCAAATTTTTTACAGTGATTCCCTTGATTTTTTTTTATTTTTTCTTATCATTGTTGCTAAAATTTCTGCACACAGGATAAAGATATAGGGTGATAGAGGATCCCCTTGTCTACATCCTCTCTGTATATTGAATCTTTGTGAAAAATTACCACTTTGATTAATTGTGGAACTTATATTAGTATAAAACAGTTTCACCCATTTTTGTATTGAGGGACCAAAATTAAAAAAACTGCAAGGAATTCTGAATAAAATTCCATGAAATTGTGTCAAAAGCTTTCTCGAAGTCAATCAAAAGTAACAAGCCTGGTATATTTTCTTCTTCTGTGTACTGCATTATATCATAAATCAAACGTGTATTTTCTCCTATGTACCTATTTGAAATAAAACCTGTTTGATCATTATTTATCAATTTGTCAAGTTTATTTTTTATTCTGTTAGCAATAGTACCTGATGCAATTTTGTATACAGTATTTAGGAGTGTTATTGGCCGCCAGTTTTTGAGAAATTGTCTTGGCTTATCCCCCTTTGGTAAAAGTGTTATTATGCCATGTCTCTGTGTGATAGACATAAGGTTATTCTCATATGCATAATTAATTGATCTAACAACAAAGTGTCCAAGGTATTTCCAAAAAACTTTTAAAAATTCTGTTGAAAAACCATCAGAACCTGGTGATTTGTCTGCTTTCATTCTATGTAAAGTGCTAGAAGCCTCCTGTAAAGTAATGAAACCTTCTAATTCTTCAGATTCTGCATTAGATAATTTTGTAGAATCCTCACTTAATAGATCAGACTCAAATTACTTAATACAGATTCAGAATATAATTTTTCATAAAAATTCTTTGTTTCCTCTAAGATTTGTGCTTGATCATGGATTATCTCTCCTGTATCTAATTCTAGCATAGGTATAATTTTACTAGTATAGTTTCTAGATTCTAGAGAACAGAAATATCTTGTAGGTTTTTCTCTCCCTCATCTACCCATCGTGCCCTACTTCTTACACATATACCTTGTAATTTATGTTTTCTTAAATTTTCAAGGTCTTGTTTTTTGTTTTCTAAATCAGAAATATTTGCATCTGTAATATTTTCTTCAAGGAGTTTTATTTCTTCTCTTAATTTGTTTTCTATGGAATGCCATATACGACAGCCAACTGCTTACTGCCAACTGCTGACTGCTTACTGCCAACTGCCACACATATTTGAATAAATTTTATTTTTGCATTGATATTTATATGAATTTTCACAAAAAAAAAAGAAAAAAAAAATGGCACGGATCTAGGACATTTTTTTCCAAAGGGGGTCCGGGTAAAATTGAATTGAATAAAATGACCAATATGTTTTATCTTATGTAATATTCAATGTATGCGGTTGATAAAGTACATTGTTTATTTTTTTTTATTTGTTTTCCTATTTGAAATAGGTAATAAAATGACTATTTTCTGCTTTTAGTCTTTAAAGAAGCCCCCCCCCCTCCCCCGGAGACAACAAAACCTTTGAAGAGAGAACAATAATAAAAAAAAATTGTCGTTTCGCAGAGAAAGATGTTTTGAAAATAAATTTCCGTTTACCATTATATTCTATAGTTAAAAATTTCCTCAAATTAAAGATGTATATCTCTGTGTGTTATAATGCAGGCACGTAGCATCGTTTTTGAAAGTGGGGGGCCAACCAGAGAATTTTTTTTTTACTTACCTGAAAAAGTTGAGAAGCCAAAAAAAAAAAAAGGAAATAGCCCAAACTCGAAAATCCTATTTCGTGGGGGGGGGGGGGGGGGGGGGGGGGGGTTTGGTGACTAACTTTTTTTTAAGGCCAACTACCTTTCACTTAAATTTCTTTCCACACAATACTACATATCCTTGATATCATTATACTATGGTAAGAATTAAGTGGGGGGGGGGAACCATCCTTTCAATATACATTTTCAATAGTAAAGGTAATGTTGGGGAAAAAAGTGTGTGTGTGGGGGGGGGGGGGGACCCCCCCCCCCCCTGTTGCTACGTCCCTGTAATGTTTCACATGCATAGATGGGGGGGGACATTTAAAATTTGTACAGTCATACGTTAAATAAACTAAATGAACTACCGGTATAACTGACCTTGGACCCTCCACTTAGAAAACGCCGATCAAACATTTATATCTCTTTGTTTCTACAAATAATATATGTTTTACATGTATAGATCTAGAGAGACAGGTCCGGACCACCCTCTGAAATTTGTAAAGTTATTTAATGCACAAACTAAACCAACTAAAAGTTATTTAATGTATAAAATAAATCAACTTAAAGGGTCCTTAGAACCCCCCCCCCTCCCCAACGAAAATGTGGATTCGTGTTAAGTTGATATGAAAAATGTCATACACATGAAGGTATGACGCATTAGAACCTCTCCCCGGCCGAAATAAATGTTCACATTTAGGAAAGGACTTTACGTATTTTTTTCTTGTCAAGAAATTTCTGGGTTGGATTTTTTTTTACCAGAGTGACCCTCTCGGAAAAAATGTTCTATAGATCCGCGCCTTTTTTTTTTAAATTTACATAAATATCAATATAAAAATAAAATTTATTCAAATATGTGTGGCAGTTGGCAGTAAGCAGCTGACAGTTGGCAGTAAACAGTCAGCAGTTGGCTGTCGTATATGGCATTCCATAGTTTTCTGTATTTTCATTTTTCTTTTTTAGGTATGAAGAATATGATATACTTTTGCCCCTGATTTCCATTAGGAGAGTTTCAAGAAACAATTGATCATTTATAGTAAAACATATATCTTTGTCATGGAGAGAATCTATATATTTTCTTTCATAAACTGGCACAGCATACTGCTTTTTGATATTATTAATAACCTGTTTAATGCTATTCAAGTACTCTTTGTCCCTTAAAAGAGAGTTATTAAATTTCCAAAAGCCTCGTCCTTTTTTAAAGTCATGAAATTTTAATACCAAAGAAATCATTGAATGGTCTGATCTATAGCTAGTTTCAATGTTACATTTATCAAGGCAGGGCAAGAGTGTTTCTGAGATGACAAAAAAATCAAGACGACTCTGTTTGAAAGGCTTTTTCTTGCGCCAAGAATACCTTCGGTCTTTTTCATGTAGTTGTCTAAAGGGGTCTATATATCCGTTGGACTCCATGATTTCTAATAATTTACTTCTAGCCTTTGGGTTGTTTACATGTTTATAATTAAAATAATCTAGTTCTGGATTTAACACTAAGTTAAAATCCCCACACCATATAACATTACTACAATTCATGTCCTCTAAATATGTTTCAATGTTCTCAAAAAAACTTGGAGCGTCATTATTTGGACCATATACAGTACATATAACTAATTCTTGACCTTGGATACAAGCTTTAATAATATGGAAATTTCCATCTTTATCACCTTTTTCTGATATGACCTTGAAATCAAAGTTGTTATTTACAAGAAAAGCAACACCTCTGGAGTTACTTGTAAAAGAACTAAAAAAGCATTTATAACCCCACATGTTTCTCACTTCATTCTCAATTTCAGGTGAGAAGTGAGTGTCTTGTAAGCAGTATATGTTATATTTTAGTGTTTTTAAATAATGAAAAACATCTCTACGTTTTGCGACATCACCCAGACCTTGACAGTTAACTGATAATATTTTAACTTCCATCAAAACAAAGAACTGACATAGGGAATTGACACCGACTGGAATTCAGACTGTAAATAAAATGTTTGGTTTTATCTTTTTGTTGAAGACATGCCATACGAAAAGAGTTTTACCGCTGCTAAACCATATACTAATGGCTATTCCTAATCCACCAGAAAACCTTTTGAAGGAATTGGAAAAATTATTTTTCTCATTTATATGGAACGGTCCACAACACAGAGTGAAGAAAGATGTCTTAGTAAAAAAATATGAAGAAGGCGGACTAAAAATGATAAATTTTAGAGCTTTCACTGCATCACTTAAGTTATTTTGGATGAGACAGCTTATTCTGTCAGATAAAGGTTTACAAAACTTTTTACCTAATATAGATTTGACAAAAATATTAACATGCGGCATTGAATATATTAAAAATATCATGAAGAACCTTAAAAACAAGTTTTGGAAAGATTTCAAGAAATTGTTTTTGAAGCTTGGATTGAATTAAATAATAAACACTATAATGTATGTAAGGTTGCAGGAGACATACCAATTTTTTATAATCCTAAAATTGTTATTGGTGGGAAAGTCATTTATAACAAAAATATGTATGATCTGAATATTAGATTTATTAATGATCTTATAGATGAAAATAGTTCCTGTTATAGTTATGAGGAATTTTGTGGCATATATCCAAATGTAAGGCTTAATTTTTTAGAATTTGCAAGCATAATACATGCTGTAAAGGCATGGATGAAAGCAACAGACACTAATGATATAATTGCAAAATTACCTAACCCATTAATTTTGCCCAGCACTCATATTCTTTCAAAGTGTAAAAAAGCAAAACAGTTCTACGAAATAATTAATGTAAATGATATTGAACCCACTGGGAAAACAAGATGGAATGATATTTTTAATTTAGGGGAAAGTGAATGGAAAAGGATTTTTAAACTTCCTTTTAAAATTACAAAAAATAGTAAACTTCAATGGTTTCAATACAGAATTTTAAATAAAATACTAGGTACAAACTCATATCTATGTAAAATTAGGAAAAGAGATGATAACTTGTGTTCTTTCTGTAATATGGAAGAAGAAACAATAATACATATTTTATGGGAGTGTGACAATGTACAGACCTTCCTCAACAGTTTTGAAAGACATTGTGAACAAAGAACAGGGTTGCAACTTTCATTTACAAAGCAAAGTTTTATTTTGGGATTTCTAGTAAAAAACAAAGATATTCATAACCTGATGGCGCTATGGATAAAATATTATATATATACAATGAGATGTTTAGAAAAAAATTAGATGTCAGACTTGCGACTTCACATATTAAATTTTTTTATGAAACTCAAAAATATTTAGCATATAAGAATGGTGACAGAGAGATGTTTGACACCATCTGGAATCTGTGGAATCAAATGTTTTCATGAAATGTTATTAAATGAAAAAAACCTATTTATGTAAAGGAATTTTAAAACATGCCAACTCTCCCTCTCTATCTCTTTCTTTCTTTCTCTCTCTCTCCTCTCTCCCTCTTTCTTTTCTCTCCCTCTATCAAAAAAACCAATCTGTAATATATTAATTTTTGTATTATGAATTGTGAAACAGATTGTGTAAAACAAATAAAGAATTAAAAAAAAAAAATTCTGCATTATTTTTAAGTTCTAACATTAAATCTGAATTTTACAATGCAAATTGAACTATTTTCAATGAAAAAAAACGCGATTAAATTCTATTCAAGTAGAATTAAACTAGGGACTATATTTTGTGGCGGAAGGTTTTTTAGACGAAAATGATCAATTTTTCCTTATTGAACTATAACAGTACTGATTATTTTGAATTCCTATTTTTTCATGCTGGTTGCACACAAAGCTGTTTTTTGCAGTGAAATGTGTTATGCTGGTTCTGAAATATCTATTAAATTATTTTTTATGAATTCTATCAACAAAGTTTGACAAATATGGTATATATAAACTGAAAATCCGGGGGGAAAATGAGCCAATTTTAACGTAAAATTGACACTTTTTTGGTAATATCTGAAAATTTACATCATATACCCCCACTTTTGATGTTCTTTTCTAAATATTCAGGATAACTTTGACCAACTTACTTAAATTCAGAAAAAGTTTAAGACTTTAAAATAATTTTCTTGCTTACTAAATTTTCAATGCCAGAAAAATCACATTTTATTAGTGCAGAAAGGTCAAATAATTGATTATGCGAAGCAATTTGAAACTTTTTCTAAGTCACAATTTTAAAGTGTCTTTTTTTAAACAGACTTAGAGTTCATTTTGTTTCGTGCTTTCATTGTATAAAAATATTGCAGGGGAAACGTCTAAGATGTAATTTTAAATTAAGACACAAATTTCAGTGCAAAAAGGTCATATTAAATGTACTGTAGCGCCAAAAGAAGCATATTGACCCCAATTTTTTGATTTCAATTTTAATTAAACTATGTATGTAGAAACTAAAAATATACTTGACGAAAAAAGTTTAAGACTTTAAATATCAGGATCGAACGTCGTTAAAACTGCTGTGGCTAATAGATGTAAGAGCCATTTGTGACGTCAAATGACGTTACATGGCGTTGCAAAGTTAAATAACGCAAACAAACATTGCGAGGAAAAAATTGACAAATTGATTCTTAACGCACATTACGCTATTTTTTACGTTAATTTTACAGGGTTATAGTTTTTCATTTAACTGAAATAAAACATTTTACATTTTTATGTTCCTAGAGTATTGAAAATGCATATAGATTCTACTGTGTATTCTAACGCGCGGTGACAAGGTTTCGCGTGTGTTATTTAAGAAATAACATATCATTTTTAGAGTTTTATTGGGTTATGACAATAAGTGGGTCACGTGATCAAATTCCCCGAAGGGCGTTATAGTAGATTTGATCACGCACCGACTTCATGTCATACCCAAAGAAACTCTAAAAATGATATCTTATTTCTTATATTTATATTTGACGTTTTTAGTCTTGTTACAAAGAAATAATTTAATTTTGTTTCTATTCTAGTCTCTCATTGGTTGATTTTCAAAAAGGAACGCAAACCATTTCTTGATAACCTGGTTTGGTATGGGGACACACCCCCTTGACAACCAGCTGATTCATCTGTATCTGTGCAATCCCCACATTTCCAGTCCATGGGATTGCATGGAAAATTCCAGATTTAATTACTGTACCTTTAACTTCAAACAGTAGCTCGCTCTTACCTCGTGTAAACAAACATCATGGCTGCTAGATCTGTATATGAGTTATTACGTCCCCTTGTTTCAAATCACTTCCGTTACTAGGGATGTATTATTGAGCGGCAAATTTGAACTCATAAAAAAGCAGCACAATTTTACACCCACAGTTGTTTAATTATTCTAAAATTAAATTATAAGGAATGACTCTAATTCTTGGCAAAATTATTCGATTATAACCTGGTTTGGGTCAGTTTACGCTTTTTTATAATCCGCTTCGCGGATTATAAAAAAGCGTAAACTGACCCAAACCAGGTTATAATCGAATAATTTGGCCAAGAATTAGAGTCATTCCTAAAATATCGGCATAAGGCTATTTAGACTTTGCTTTGGAAATGCAATATAACGTATCTAAGACGTCATGTGACGTCACAGTCAGAACTTTCCAAATTGCTCGTGCAGTTTGCTATCCTTACGCAAGAATGTTTGATCATGTGACCAACTGCATGTCATTGAAAAATGAATTTCAGTTTTATTAGCATTGTTATATAAGGAAAGACATCAGCAAATGTAAATATAGAAATTTGAACGTCTTGGATTTCTAATGGATTTCATAAGGAAAATTACACTGAATGTAAATATATATTTTTGTACAAGCAAAAGTAAGCAGAAGACTTTAAAAAGTAAATAACTGGGAAACAAATCTCATGCAAAATGTAAATATTTATTATCTCTTGAGGTGATGTTTCAACATTTTTCAAAATTTACAGGAGTTTTCAGAAGCTCAGAAGGAGACAGAAATCCGTTTCCTGAAAAAAAAAAACATGATGAAGATAAAATATTTTGATATATTACTGATCAAATCTGCATCACGTCTTTTGAAAGCATCATAAAACAGTCGACAAAAATAAGCCAAATGCTTTTTTAATGAAACTACCTACCGTTGTCTAATACTAAGATAAAATGCCATGATGTCAATAATCTAGCACAATTAATTAATTAAGTATATCTTTTAAGAAGTTTACTGTCATGTTGTAAATTTTGAATTTACCGGGTGGCAGTAAATAAAAAATTTACTAAATTAATTTTTGTATTTACTGCCACCCGGTAAATTCAAAATTTACAACAAGACATTACTTCTATCGTTCTTTTCTAAGTCTATAGAAAGCGCAAACTTGTATAAATTTCTATCCATGGGAACAAATTGTTTATAAAAGTTCTTATATACATTGCAATAAAATTGACCGCATAGAAGGAACATCATTGCAATAATTGATGTGATTTACAGTATTCTACAGATATCATCTGAGAAGACAAGTCTTACGTTTTATAAAGTCTATTTTTAGTAAAATAAGTTTTATTCAATTATTCTCTAAACCGGTATTATTCAGTGCACAAGAGAAAAAAAAGAAAAAGAAATACGGAAAAAGAATTCCTATCCTCTACTAAAAAAAAAAACACTAGTTGAGGGTAGGAAATTTTTTCCGGATTTTTTTTTTTTTTTTTGAGGGGGGGGGATAAAAACTTCAGACTCCAGTCAGTGTAAAGGAGTATCAGCATCTCATTGATAAGACGTACCATCTTTGTCGCCGCTCTTGAATGCTGGTAGGAGTCGTTGATCGTATTTCACCATGTCGAAAAACTCTTGTATATCAATTCTGTAGTCTCCATTTTTATCCCACGCAAAAAAGTTACAAGGCAAGGGATCCATTTTCCCAGTCTTAAAAAAAATCATATATGAATGCAGTGTATCCCTGATTTAAAAAAAATGTCATATAAACAGAAAATCTGACAAAATATGATTACTAATATTACCTTCGTTTTAAATGGTGAAGCAGTAGCCCCTTTCCTCCTGTCTATAGCAGTGGTTTTATCCAAAACACAAAAAGTGATCAGCAAAAATACCAAAAGGAACTTCATTGCCTCTTAACTGAAATACATGCAACATTTTACAATTATAACAGCATTTATACATGACTGAGTAGAACATATAACATATATATAGAATATTTCACATTTTTAAACAAGAAAATTTAAAAGGCTATAAAAATCATCCGTATTTTACATTACCGTATCAAGCGCTAACTAGTGTGCAGTATGTCAAAATAACGTTCATATAATATATCTTTGGGTAAGGTCAATTAATTACTTACCAAATGACACTTTTACATTTTGAGATTTATTATGAACACAGATGTGTGGAAGGAGGAATCAAGCTTTTTTTTTTTTTTTTTTTTTGAAAAAGATTTCCTGATTTACAAAGGCTAGGACATTTGATTTAGTTACAACTGTTGTAGCGGCTTGCAACATATTTATTATCCCCCGCTGAAAGTAGGGATACTAATTTCGATCTGTCTGTCCGTCCGTCTGTCTGTATTTCTGTCTGTCTGTAACAGTTTTGTTTCCAAGCTATATCTCGAGAGGCCTTTCAGCTTTTGCAAAGAAATTTTACCTGAGAAATTCCTTTGGACTAAAGAAGTTACCGGTAATTATTGAATTTGAGGTCCGTCCGTCGGTCCGGCTTATTTCGGTCTGTCAGTTACACTTTCGTTTCCACGCGATATCTCGAGTAGCCTTTGAGGTTCATCGTCGCAAACCACGGCCAAAATGTACGATCCTCTCCCATTCTAGGAGGTACATGTAACGGTAAGCGGACTCCGAACCGTGGCTTGAGGCGATGTTGAGCTTCTGCAATTTAAATGTTTCCAAATTTGGCTGAAAATTACCATCTCATAAACTACTTTAAAATATATTGATAGATCATATGAATGTTGAGTACGGTATTTACCATGGAAACGGTGTCTTTCTGAAAAATTGCAATTTTGGAGAATGTTATTTAAAGAAATGCAGCTACTTCAATAAATGTTACTCAAGAAATAAGAAATATGACATCTAATTTTGAAGCATTGTTGGTATTCAGTCTATAAATATGCTGTGAAATATAAATACAAAAGCAAAAACACTAATCATTCAAAAGTTATGGCCAAGGTTGAATCCAATTTAATTAAAATCTTTGATCCACTCCAACTAGATCGCTTTGAGTAGCAACGACCTTGCATTTGAGAAACTTGAATCACCGCCAAAAAGCTTTCATACAGGGGAAACAGTGTTTCACAGTGTTTTCGACTTACAGGTCCGTTGCCGTGAAATCCTAAAAAAAAAAGTTGCAAGTGCTCACAGTGAAAGTCTCTTAAAGATGTAATATTTCCAATTCTTATTGTTTTCTCTGTGATAAATCATTGAAAGTTAAGCGAGTTGATTTCTTGATAATTCAACCGGAATGTAAATTTCGCCAAGCGAAATGACAGGTTCTAAGAAGGTGTAATATGCATGTAAATCTATGTGTCTGGTGTCAGCGGACAGGGACTTTTGAAATTGGTATGGGAGGCATCGTGAAATTTGGATCTTTTGGACATGTTTCAAAATCTAAATTTACATTTTATTCACAATAAAATGGAAATATAATGAATTGCTGCCCAGTTTGTTGTGAATGCCAGGGACATCAGCGTTAGTTTGGAACGTGAGATAATTTGCATGATGCCCTGGGCCTGGCATACCCAACAAACTAGACAGTATTTACGAAAATGATCAACTTGTAGTCGAAAACACTCAGAATATTACTTTTTGTGCATAAAAGTTGATAAAACATAACTTTGTTATCACATCTATTTGATAATAATTACAAATTTTAAAAAAGCTAGCATAGGTAAAATTGCGTTGTGTGGAAATCAGAGTCCAATTTATAAATCTCGAGAGCTATCTGCCTCGTCATTTTCATCAGATGTTGCAAAAATATTCAGTGACATATGTTAACAAAACAACAATTTATTATTTTTTTTTTTCATAAAATACATTGTATGATCGTATTGCGCTAATCATGAAAATAAATACCATGACTTATAAAGGGGTGGGGAGGGATTCAGACACGTTTTACTAAAGATAACGTTGATTGAAAGTACGCCCCTCCACCCCACCCACTCTTTGTAGAAAAATTATAAGGGTGAAGTAATATGTTTGAGTAAAATAATTTGATACTGAAAGTATTTAACACGATACAGGCTAAAAATCCTTCGTAATTTAAGACTAATAAAAAATCCTCGTATACAATTTAAATGAAAAAAAAAAACATTATCGAATGCAAATAGGAAATTTTACTACACAAAAAAGGAATCATATATACAATGTAAACGGCAAAATATAAGATGCAAACAAACAATTATAGTATATTCAAATCGAAAATCTGAAAATACAAATTGAAATGGAAAATTTCACAATATTAGTAGAAAATTTAAGAATACAAATAAAAACTAGAGGCACTGTGCATGAGCAATTAGCTCAGTAAATGCTACCCCCGCCTCCCATTTGATTATAATGGCAGTGTCCATGTTTTGCTATGGGAAACCCAAAATATGTGTCAGATCAAAAAGTAAAATAGGAGTTTGTCAATGGAAATATGTGTTAAAGATTTTTGTGAAAGTCTCATCAAATTTCATTCAGTGGTATGAGAGGAGTTGCGGATAAGAGATGGATAATAGATAGACAATTTACAAAGAATTAATGAGTTTCCGCAATGTACTAATTTCTGAACCTCTCAGGGGACATGAACTTCATAATTTCACCTTTTAAAGTACATCTTTGATTTTGACCCATTTTCCAGAAAATAAAAGCACAGACCTACTTCATGTTTTTGAACTGTTTCCCAATTTCCAAATTTAGAAATACATTATCTCATTTTCTCTGCATCAAATCTCAAATTTCACATATATTGTAATATTGGGAAAATTGTTGCAGAAGACTTTTTGAAACTGATGATTCACGGGAAACGAAAATAAATCTCAAGGGGTCCTTAATCTCTATCTCATGAGGTAAGAATGAAGTTATTATTAAAATTATTACAGCTGAAATTCACATGTACCTAACCAGTGTCCATTACAGAAGGATATAACGCAGAGCAACTGCTTTAGAATATTTATTTGTTTGGTCACCGTTTGTTTACAAACTATGAAATCTACTGTGCTTAAAGTGTATATTTTTTCAGTTACTTGGGTATCTAGCAAAATAGTTGCACGTTGTTTTCCATAGAAAGTAGGTGAAGATTTGTATTAAGTAATGTACAAGTCTTGCAATTTTACGAATGCAAATCATTGACACTGAAAAAATGATTTTAATTATCTATACAACTGTTTTGGTCGCCATTTTTTCATGAACCTAGTTTTGTTTACCAAACATGTTCAAGGGTTTAACATTTACATGTTCTATTTATAACCATAAGGATTTCCTATTATAAAGATAAGAACCATTGAATATATAAAATCTTTAAGTTTTGCTTGAGGTCTCGATCTGGACTTTCTAAGATGAAAGAAACCTAGCTATAACTACTTTCCGGCAAATCATTTTCAAAGCATTTCATAATATTTGCATGTTCAATTGCAAAAACTGTAAATTGACATAGATTTCCTGTCAAATTTGTTTATTAATTTCATGAAGAACATGTAAATGAATACATAAAGGGTTCGATACATGTCCACTGTATACATTGTAGAATGAGGATTAGACTGTTATCTAAAGTAAGACGGGGTCAGTTTGTGTATCTCAGTTTTACCTGTCGTGGCATACAGACGATTCAAGGAAAAGGGAACAAAGGTACAGCTTTTAGCAATTCTAGATAACTAAAATGTTCGTACAACAGTGCATTGTAGTGTGTTCTATTGATCTGTATTATGGGATTGTAACGTTTATATCTATAAATAGATTAAAACTGTTATATGCACACTAGTATTTACTTCAAAAATGGAGAGAGAAAAAAAATCATAGAAGTGTATAAAATATTAATGCTGTATACATGGTTATTTTTCACATCATGTTAATTTCGCCCTTTCGCTCTTGCAGAAAATTTGCCCCGTTTAACAGTCACAGTTCTGCATAAAACTTTTAATGTGTTTTCTGAATGTGACCAAATTTAAATTCGCCTTTTTATGGGTATGACAAACAGAATCAAGTATTAAATGGGGACAAAATTTTCCCTGTATACAGCTAAGTTCTCTGTGGGGTTTTTTGTGCTTCCGCCCCCCCCCCTTTTTTTTGCTGAAGAAAAACAAAATAAATTTTTTAAAAAATATAGTTTCAATTGCATTATAAGTTATTGCAAATAATGGCTGTAAACTTTAAATAATAAATTTGTTTTGGACAATAGATGTATTAAAACTTTAAATCTTGAGAAAAAACCCACTCAACAGATTTTGAGAAAGCATCCCAAAACTTTAAGTGAAAGCACAAGGCATACATTTGGCCAAATATTAATCAGTTTTAAAAATCTAAAACATTTCCTGGAATTTCCTCTTTTAGGAAAACAAAGATCGAATTTTAAACATATCAATGGGCAAGATTAAATGAAAAGATCCAAAGTTAAACAAAAAAAAAAGACCATATACGTTTATAAAACATATCATATGAATATCTTGTATAGTTTAAAACACACAAATTCTCCAAAATCCTTTTTATAATAAGTTATTCAAAAATACTAGAAACACATTATTTTCATAAGACTTTGGTATTTGCTTCTATTTTAAATATTAAAACATTTCTTTTCTTAAAAAAGTTTCCGAAAGCTTAAAATGATTATGATTTAAAATTTTAGTATTGGAGTTGGTAAAACTAAATTAAACAATCTATTGGTTGTGGGGTTTTTTTCAGACATAAAAATAGAGGATAGAGAACACAATTTTAAGTGAACTTGAGTTTTGTTTTTAAATTTGCAGTACTTAATGACTTAATATACCTAAATGAGAAACTTCGGTTACTAATATGTTCTTCTGTTGCAGATGTTTAAGAATTTTAAGGTTGTTGGATCTGTTGCTGCGCCATTTACTCCCTTTCACAGTAATGGGTAAGAATTAAAGAAAAAATAACGGCTGTGGGCGTCAGTAATTAAATTGGATTCTTCTATCATGTAAAGTAACTAGACCTAGAGGATAAAAAGGAATTAAATTGATTGTTTCATGATTGTATTTTTAAGACATGTTGTGTGTGATATCCAATTAGATTGTGTACAGTGCATTCTTCCTGCTCATGGCATGGTACTGGTGTTGTCCTTTAACGTAGGCTTTTCTTGATGTCAACTGTATCATATACACTCCAGTAATGGAATGTGATTGCACATTCACAAGATTGTACGTTTGAATCGTCTATTGTTTAAAAAAGGTTTAAGAAAAATGAGTAAGAATTCAGCTTGTCCGAAGACAAATCTCTGAACGGAGTTTCCTCAAGAATGCATAAGCATGATGAAACATATAGAGATAACGAACATTATTCAAGATTAAAAGTCCATAAAACAAATGATACAAAATAGAAGCAGAGTAAACACGGAACTCTAAAACATCAGAGGTGAGATCAGGTGCCATGGGGGAGTGAGCATTCCTTGACGAACGGTCACACCCGCCGTGTGCTCCTTGTCATGATCGAGAAATAACGGGAAAATCCGTCGTCAATACAGTGTTTAAACTACGGACTAACAATTAGTTTGAAAAACGTTAGTCAGCATTTGACTCAGTGATAAATTGTATTTGCTGACAAGGTCATTGTATCGACCATGGAACTTACGAAATGATTACTTTAAACGAGACTTCTGAAATTCTTGTTTCATCAACTTGCTTGTCAATAATTTACATCGTTTTAGAAATTGTTCATACGTAGAGAATGTCCTTCCGTATCGAATCAATTGAGAACTCCGTATGCAGCTAGGTGATGAAGGTATGTTGCTGCATAAGTAAGGGAAGTTGACAATGGAAAAGAAACTAGTATAGAGTCATCACGTTTATCATAGAGCTTGGTTGTTAGATTACCATTTACGTTTTTTTTTCAAGTAAAATATCTGACTCTGTGTCAGACTCTGTGGTTTCTTTTATATCAAGCTCACTAGGATATATATCGTATCGACATGAGAATGGAAATTACCATTATTAATTGACAATACGTCGTCAATATACTGGTATCTAAATGTTGAGTTGAAGGCCACAGCAAGTGTTTTCTTCTTTTCACGCTTAAGACTTCGCACAAATTTTGCTTCATATATATACCGGTGTAAAACAGGTCTGCTAATAACTGGGCGCAATTGGTACCAATGGGAATTCCAACAGATTGTTGGAAGACTTTATCTCCATAAACCACGTATATATTGTCAATCAGAAACTCAAGCATCTTTTTCTGTCCACTTCAGAGTACTTGTGTGTACAGTCAGAATGTTTTTAACAAAATAATTTTGCAAATGACAAGGTAAGTAATTGATTTTATTTTGATAATTGATTTTAATTAATTTTATTGAAAAAGCAGCTGTCAATGATATCAACAATCCTTGACTTTAATTTATCGTGGGAAATGGTTGTGTATAAAGTTGAAAAGTAGATAAGTTTTAAGTTTTAGATTTTGGTAAAATCTTGTGATTTCAAATTGTCCAAACTTCCTTGGAATTTTTAAGTATCCACATCTGATTTACACCACTTCTTGAATATATTGTTGCACTGACAGTACTTTTGAAGTTTCTCCTTCACTATTATTAATTTGTAATAAGTTGCCTTTGATATTTCCCCTACGTTATAATAGTTGCAAAATTATAGAAAAAAAGCTAGATCATTATATGATTTCTAAATCTCAAAATAATTTATTGATATAATTTTCAAGAGAAATCAACTATGACAAATTTGGAGAGTATGTGGATTACTTAACAACTCATCATTTTCAATACGCTTTTGGTAAGTAAATTTTATATGATCGTATTGTAGCTACTTTTCTATGTATAAATAATATTAACATAGATGTTACTTATTTGAGAAAACTACTTTATTTATCAATACAGTGAACGGAACGTTAGCGGAAGGAATGTCTATGACGTTAGAAGAAAGGAAAAAAGTAGCCGAGGCGTGGATGAAAGCATCAAAAGGAAAGTATGTATGATACGAACACAACTTTACTTTGATTTATTCTTGAATACAGAATAATTTTGGGATTTTTTATGATAGAGTGAAAATTATTCTGCATGTTGGAACGAGCAATATCAAAGATTCCCAAGAACTAGTAAGTTTTTTGTTTTGCTTTTATCCCAAGAGTTTTCAATATCAAAATAATATCAAAATAAAAACTTTCATTACACATGTGCAACTATGAATATTATATCATATATATATGACATACATTTTGTTTGAGATGAATGATATGCTTACTATTCTATGCAGGCTAGACATGCCAGCTCTATAGGAGTAGAAGCAATAGCATCCCTTTGTCCTTCATTCTTCAAACCAGCCAATGAAGGTTAAGTGCAGTTCACTATTTATAGACATTCAGCATCTCTTTCCTTCTATTTTATTAAAGAGATTTAATTATCAATTAATGACCAATGTCTGTTTTCGTTCATTTAGAAATATTAGTGGACTGTATGTGTGAGATCGCTAGCGCTGCTCCAAATGTACCGTTCTTCTATTATTGCATCAACTTTGTTACGGGAATCTACTGTAAGTAAAAAAGATTACCTTATTTTACAACAGATTGTACCCACAAAATGCAATTAAGCTTCTAATTTCAATTTCTTCAAAAATGGTTTTTTTATTGTTTCCAGTGAGTCCTTCAAAATTTCTCTCGCTGGCTAAAGACAGAATACCGAATTTGGTAGGGCTGAAGCATTCGTCAAGGGAACTACCAAACGCCTATAACTGTACTCTGGTAGATCCTAAATGTTTCCAAGTCTTGATGGGAACAGATTCGGTTAGTAGACCATTTGATAATATATTTAGTTACATCTGTATTCAAACACATGATTATACGTATCATTAAATGACCCTTTTCTTGATTTCTAATTAGCAAACATACATTCAAATTTCACCAAAATACAATACTTTTCATAAACAATGCAGGTCTATTTATTTCTGAATATTATACAAATGTACAGACATGCATGCATTTATTGTCAGCAAGAAATAATGTAACAGTTTCTTGAATTCCTAATAATTCATTATTTAAATATGTATATTTGAACAGCAATTTTTGCCCTACTTCACGCTAGGCATCGACGTTCCTGTGACAGCACCATACATGGGAACATTATTCTACAAATTAAAAAAAGCATATGATTCTGGAGACGTGAAAACAGCAGAAACTATACAAGTTAGTTTTTAGTTAAACTGGTTTTGTAAGAAAATTTTGCATGCCTAAAGTATAAACTCTTTTATCCTAATGTACGCAAAGAAAAATATTAAAACTTCAAACCTATTCAACGGGATAAACTTTCAATTTTTTGTATCAGTTGAGTTACTCTTATTGTTTATTGTATCCATCAGCTCATACAGCAACTTGCTTAGCAAGAGTCATACAATGAAAGCAGAGAGGTGACAGAATACTGTCATGTACATTCCGAAACTTCAAAGGAGTGTTACTTCCGAAATTTACATAATATATGGCTAAAATATCATATAAAAACAAAATATCTTCACTCAACTCAGAAGGGGACAATGAACATTTTTCTTTTTGTGTATTTTCCGTAGGAATGTCAAAAAAGTTAGTTAACTCTATTTTTATTGTTCTCTACAAAAGTTAAAGAATGAAACATTTGTTAGATTATTTTAATTCAGTATTACCTATTCCATTTTTTACAGGCTCGCATATTTGAACTGAATAATATACGTGGAGATTATGGTGAATATTTATATTCCATAAATAAGTCATTCAATAATCTATTAAATATTACGAAAATGATACCAAACACTCAATCCATTGTCATCAAATCTCTTTCTTCAAAATCAAAATTTTGTTTGTCTGGATTGATTATACCTCTAATTCTTTTTAAAAATCAAATATAGTGTCTAGATTGAAAAAAAAAATCTATTTTGAAACAGGAGCTGGAGTAGAGATAGCCAAGGCCATGTTTGGTATCATTAGTGGGATTGACATAGGCCCAGTGAGACTGCCAATCACACGACTTACAGAAGACAAATTCAACATGCTGAAGAAAGATTTGGCAGCCTTTGGTCCTGTAGAATGAAACAACCATTAAGGAGCATTATATTTCCCCTTTTATTCATTATTATTCAGTAACATGCATTTGATTTATATTTACATGTATTTGATTCTATTGATAAATATGCTGATTATAAGATGCAGTGTTTTTTTAATCGTTCTGAAAGTTTCAAGTTATTTTAAGAGCATATATGAAGTTAGTACAAGTGTTTCTGACTTTGAAATTTCAAATGAATAAATCGAATCATAAAATGTTTCTGTAAGTCAGCGTGATTTCGTTAGAATTAAAAAAATTGATTAAATGCGTTTGAAATATTTATTCTTCAAAGAGATAAAAAAAAAATGAAATCAAATAAGTATGAAAAAGGGGCATTTTCTTTTTAATATTTATATTAAATGTATACGTACCCTGACAAATGAGGCCACCTCTAAAACTGCTCTAATTCACATCCCATGACGTATATAAAAACGAAGCCTATTTTGAAAGATATCATTCGCTTTCTTCTCAAATAAACAACCATAAAACTTTTCAATGGAGAGCTATAAATTGTATGCAATTTTTTTTTTATCTCAGGCGGTGTTTTAATGTGTTGCTTTTTGAAATGGAAAGACTTTTCATATTCATGAGATATGTGAACTACAACGCTTCCCTCGGAATAATTACTATGAAAAGCGTCGTTCGTATTTCATGTCCTCATGACTCTTCAGAAAAATCACTTCTTAAAAATTTTACTAAAAAGGACGTTAATGGTAACCTTACGAAGCTTTACGAGAAACGCGATCACTTCCCGTACTTTCTGTAGCAATATACCCTTATCATCTGCATATGGCGTTTATATATTTTAGTTGATTCGATACGCAAAAGCATGTTCTAGTATGAACAAATTTTTAAACGATGCAAATATTAAAACACAAGGTATCAGGTCTCATTTAAGTCATTATTTTGCAAGTTCTATGGTCGATATAATGACCTTGTCAGCAAATATTTACATTTCCAATGTCTTTGTCCTAGATAAAATTACCAATTGTAAATGTAATTGATTTCCTCATGAATGTTTTGGCGCGGATCCAAAAAAACCACGTGCAGGGCGGGACAACACCTAGAGAGAAGCAGGCTTGGAGCCCGTGGATTGGAGGAATCAAAGCATGTAAATATAAGGAATAACTGTCAGATTTTTCGAATTCATGAAGATGATCAATGGATTGGCTTGTGTGATAATTTTATGCATAAACGCCTTCGGCGTTTATGCAAATTATCACACAAGCCAATCCATTGATCACTTCATGAATTCGAAAAATAAGACAGTTATTCCTTAAATACAATCTATCTTTAAGTCAAATGCTGACTGGCGCTTTTCATATTTATTGTTAGGTCATTATTTCAAACTAAATAGGCGACGGAATTTTCCTTTTTTACGATCATGATAAGGAGCATAAGGAGAATGTGAGGGATTGCCAAGGGATATCCACTCCTTCATTGCACCTGAGCCCACCTTTGATGTTTTGGCCTGCTTTTGATTTGTATTGTTTGAATTAAACACCTAATTCTTCATTGGATTGAAGTAGATTAGATGTTTTCCCTCTTTATTTTCAGTCTTAATGTAGAAACATGTATAGTGGAGTATTCCCACTCGAAAACAATAGATTCTCTTTCCCTCTTTATCCAGACATGCTAGTTCTTTTACCTTTCTTCCTAGCTTGCAATTCTTTTTTTCTTTCTGTCATTCTCAATCTGTGTTTTGCAGTCTCTCATTAAATTATGTCGTCAAAACTCAATGATAAATTGAAACTTTAAAAAATTCCAAAGTAAATTAAAAGTTTAAAAGGTGAAAGCACATCCCGTGGGCATTACCTGGGCCCATGAGTTGGTAAATGATTTTTTTTTTGGTTGATAATTTTATTATGTCATAATAACTCTTCCCATATGCAGAGAGGTGTTTCCCAATTTCCGACCAATTTATCCTCAATAAACCAATTTCTCCTTTTTGAAGCAATGGGCGAGTCATTAATATATTATGTAACAATCAGTATACTTGTATTGTTCAAATGAAAGCTCATCATGCAGGTTTCATTCAACCTGAAAATTTTAACAATTTAATGTACTTCCTTGTAATACATAAGGCTGTTTAAAGTTAATTCTACGTTTAACGTCACATCTAAAGTTCAAAACCTATGAGGGAGGGAGGAAAAAAATAAACAAACAAAATTTTCAAACAATTGTGAATTTATTCAAATTAACCTATTCAGTACATTAAAAACATTACAATTTAGTAATATGAGCATTTAATTGATATGACACCTAAGATTAATTTTCCTAGCAGAGTTTTTCCTTAGTATGTAAATCAGTTTGAGTCCTATTGTTAGCAAAAATGCAGTCTAAGACTAAATGTGCAGGAAAGTGGCTTTTAACTAGGCCTCAGTTGTCCTTTGCATTTATATTGCCACACGTCCATGGTACCCTGGAGGCAAATGCTTCTTCTTGTGGAAATAGTTGCTCAATATCTACAATTAAAATTATTGATGACAATATTTAAAACTGTTCATGTTGAAATATCCTCAAATTGAATTATGTCATATTTTTTCTTAGTACTAGATCTACTAGCATTAAGTTTTGAAAGTGTGAATACTAATATTTGGACCATACTGATAGCTGTTAGATTATCTTTAATACCTTGAATTCCACACAAAGGACAGGATTCTTCACGTCTTGGAATACCTCAAACCACTTTCCTTACTCTCCTTTACTTGAAAGGCCCTATCTTCAGTAAGCTTCTCCCTGCTCAAATGGTTAAGACAAGTATAATCTTTTCCAAAAATTGTAGCTATTTGTACTGGTACATGAATTATTAAGAAATCAATTATCTTACTCATTATTGTTCCTTTCGATTTTTACAGAATTTTTTTTTAAATATTAAATAAATTAAATAAGATTTAAATGATGCTTTTCACTGTATATAAATATTGGTTTTTGACACACTTTCCACTCAGTAAAAAAGTTTTTCGATTGTCTCCAAAATACAATGAAAAGTTCAGCCAATAATCACGAACTGAGAGTCTGTCAGTCTGTACATGTGATTCGAAGACTGACAAAATATCAACAAACTAGACTTTGTCATTAACTTCAATCATAAAATCATCTATTTTTTACTTACATTTATGGCCCCAAGCTCTTTAATTCACTAGTTTTCTTTAATAAGACACCAACTGCCTTTACTGCAACTATCAAAGCACATTTTCTGTCACTACGGGAAGCAGAATTTAGTCGCTAATTGTAGAACCAAACCGGAACGGACATACGGAATTCCGAATTGTTTGTTTTTTTCAAAGACGAATTTCTCATAAACCTACGCGCGCGGGTGACGTTAAACATAGTTTTAATTTTAGACAGCCTAAAGATCAAACAAAAAATATCTTAAAAGTTATTAAAAACCAGGGGAGGCCTATGTGATAGGTATTATCTGTCTACCATTTTATTTCCTCAAGCACTACTGTTATACTTATAACCACCCAGGTGTCTGAGTGGTTATAATAAAGAATGTCGATCGATACCTTCTGCTGTTTGGATTTATCAAATACATAACATTTAACACTGTTTAATTTTATAATATAGCTTACGTCATGCAGTTCTAGACGGTTTGGTCCATTGGGTGCTCATTGCAGGATTGACAGAAAAGGTATATCTCTCATAAATGGATCTGCGTAATAAAGCCTCGAGTGTTCTATACTAGAAACACCCGATTGTTCCTTAGTTTAAGCCTATTCATACATGTATTGTAAAAGAAGTTTTGTGTATACTTTTATTGTACTTTTAGTAGGAAAGTGAATAAAAAGGCCTTAATATTGGCATTATAATGCTACAATTTTTCCTACAAAGATGACATTTTTATGTCCAATCATTATCTATACTAATATGTGTCTTGATATCAAGTAGCTATAGTAGCAAAAGGATGCCAATTCAAAAATAGGGATATATAAAATTTTATTATACCTCTACTGATTTTTCACTTTATAAAAGTAAATTGATATATTTTGCCGATTCCCTGAAAATCATCGTAAAAAGACTGATTCCATGCAGAAAGGTGCGCAGTTTGGTGAACTGATGCACATCCTGTGATTCCTTTTAATCAGATGAAAATACAAATATGTTCCAAATTAACATCATGAATATTCATAATGAAGCTCACTTAACTTACATGATATATGTCGGTATAATAAAACAGTTAAAGTATATCTTTGAGGAAGTCGGCAATTCCAGTTCCCTTCGAGTAAGCCTATTTTCTAAAATCCCTGACACATCGGAACTGCGTCCTCAAGGCGATCACACGGCGTCCATAAAAAATGCAAAACGCCGAGGTGATCGCAGTAGAATCTCCTACAGCGCGTTCACAACGCGGCGAGATCTCCACTGAACGCGGACGGATCGCATAGGGTCTCCTAGCACGCCAAGGGAAGGCGATTACTTTGGGCATGCACAAAGTACGCGCCGTGTGATCGAGGTCTGATAAGATCGCAGTAGAAAAGTAGTATGATCGCCGGAGCATCGCGGTGAGATCTCCAACAAGGCAGTGCTAGTTCCGTACGAACGCCGTGAAGACGCACATGATCGCAGCACGAACGCAGTGATCGTAGACTGCGCTTGGAACCACGGAGACGTCGCGGAGTTCTTGGAGATGTCACTGCGTTTCTATCGTGCTCTATGGAACGCCATCACTGCCTTATAGCATAAAACTATGCATTCATTATGTCAATCTATCATAACGTGATGTGAACATATCTTTACGTTATGTCAATTTTTTATGGGGTGATGTAAAAATATCTTTACATCATGTCAATGCTGCATTACATGAAGTAAACACATTCTTCCATTATGTCAGCACTTTATAACTTGAAGTCGGAAGTTCATTATGTGAAGTGAAAATATGTTTACATTGTGTTAAAACTTTATTACGTGAAATGAATGTTTCTTTATATTATTTCATTTCTTTAATATGTGAGGTCAAAATTGCATCACGTCAAGTAAATTGTGTTTTATAATTAAACTTATCATTACATGAAGTCAAAAGTCCATTCCTTTTTGAGAGTGTATGTGTCTATTATGTCAAAGCATTATTACGTGATATGGATTTATCTTTATATTACGGCGAGAGCATCATGATGTGAGGAGAACACATCTTACCTTTATGTCAGTGCTTTATTACGTGGTATAAAAAGTGTAAAACATAATGTGAACATATCTTTATTTTATATCAACACTTTATTACATTATGTCAAAACTCCATTCCGTGATGTGGATATATAATTACGTTATGTCAACTCTTATGTGATTTAAAAAATATCTTTATATTGTGTTAACTCTTTATCATGTTGATTCCAAAAGTTCATTACCTGATGTGAAAATACATTTACATTATCTGAAAGCTGTATATCTAGTATAATAATGAATGTTGACGACTGTATTTTAATGACTGGTAAGAGGGGAGGGGGGGGGGGGGGCGATTGAGTAGGACGAATAATTATAGACACATAATATCAACCCCCCTCTTTTCCCAGACATAACCTTATTTTAGAAAATGTAATGTTCATTGAAAGTACAGCCCCCACCCCCACTTATTGTTGAAGTATAGTCCACTAGGGGTAATGTAGTATAACTGAAAAAAATATATGACTAATCAAAGTCGGACCCCCCTCTCCGAAATAGGATTTTCGGGCTTGGACAAATTTTTTTGGCTTGTCAAGTTTTTTCGGGTAAATTTATAATTTTTTTTTTCTGGCTGACATCCTCTTTCAAATAAATGCTATGTCACGGAATTAGTTACTGTAATTTTTTCAACCATTCCAATACCAGAATTCTGTTATAAAAATCTACCAGTCCCTCATCTAAATCAGTTGAATATGCCTTAATAAGCATGCATGGGTACATATTTGTGGCGCATATGGGTATCAAAAGAAGGGGGACGGTAAGAGTTGGTGACCAAAGGGGGAAAGCAGAAAAACTCTCCGGCAGGCTTTATAGTTTAATAGAAAAAATTTTTCAATATAATTCAGCTAAACTTAATGTGAAAGTAATGCAATGTCCTACAATGTAAAACTAATAAATTTATTAATTTTATGTATATTTTGGTGACTAAAGATGGTAGGGCGGGATTTCTGACCCCCCCCTTCCCAAAGCCGCCAGTGCACGTGTGTTATTCGATCGATGTGTTTACACTTTAAAAAAGGAGAGTTAAAGACTGATAAAAAAAAAACTTATGACAGTGTTCTGAGTAAGATCAGAAGTTTAAGATTTTTATTAAAAAAAAAAAGCAATTCAAAAGAAAAAAAATGCTGCACGACTCATATTTGATTTATTTAATTATCAGATAAAAGTAAACGCCATTGAATTTCGACGCGTGACTTTAATTCACAGTCGCAGTGTTAAGGCTTTGCACATTTCAAGATTGTTAATCATTTTTCGATTAAAGTTTTTATATCATTTAATCGCTGAGAATTTATTTTATGACAGTTTTCTCTCCCGCCATTTTTAGTGCTTTCGGAATGCGGAAAATACGTTATGCTCATATAAAGGCCGAGGATACCCGTGTTCGCATAACGTAATAGTGAATCGACATAATGTAGAAGAGTGCGCACAGTATGACATGAGCTTTTCACATCTGATATGAGATGAAGTAACCTAAGATACATGTATGCTGACAAGATGCTTAGCATTTTTGACACACTGTAAAGACACAATGACATAATGTAATAACGATTTGTCAAAAAGTAAGGGCAAATTCACATCATGAAATTGATTCACGTCGTCATGTAGCTGACTAGCATATTGAAGGCATAAAGTAGTAAAAGAATTGACCACATGTGACAATTTTTTCAGATCATGTAATGAAATTCTGACATCGTATTATAGCGACTTCATATTGAGTTAAAGATAAATTCACATCATGTAATGAACTACTTAGACCAAATAGTAGAGAGTGCACATAATGTAATAATGAGTTGAAAATATATAAAAACATTTTTACACCACGTAAAATTGTTTTGACTTGATGTCATAAAGAGCTGATATAATGCAGTGGAAGACTGGCGCAATGTAATTAAGGTGCGAGTTAATGCCATAAAGACTAAACATAATGTAATTGAAAGTTGACATAACACAATAGTAGTGTGTGTAATTGTCATAAAGAGTAGACATAATGTAATGAAAGGTTGACACAATGCAATAGTAGTGTGGACTAATGTCATAAAGAGTTGACATAATATAATGGAAGGTTGCCATAATGCAATAGCATTGTGGGTTAATGTCATAAAGAGTTGACATAATGTAATGGAAGGTTGACATAATGCAATAGCATTGTGGGTTAATGTCATAAAGAGTTGACATAATGTAATGGAAGGTTGACATAATGCAATAGCATTGTGGGTTAATGTCATAAAGAGTTGACATAATGTAATGTAAGGTTGACACAATGCAATAGTAGTGTGAGTAAATGTCATAAAGTGTTGACATAATGTAATGGAAGGTTGACGCAATGCAACTGTTGTGTTCTGTTATAAGGCAGTGACGGCGTTCCATAGTGCTCTTACGGCGCTTGTACTGCATATAATTGCCTTGTTATTTTTTGACTGTGATTACACAACGACAACACGGAGTTGTATCTGCGATTTTTGCGCTCCCTTAGCGTCTACAGCGTCCGTTTGCGATCACAATGCGCTTTCATGGCGTTGTTAGAGGGTTGTAAGGCAGCTCACAGAACAAGGGCGATGGCCTCAAATTTGATCAGCAATAATTCTAGCATTTGTTGCACTAGGAGCATGAAAGTAAAATTGGAAAGTAATAGTTATTGTATATTTATTATGGTGTATCCTGAGTTATTTGGAGGAAGGGCGGTGACGAGTGCGCGATACAACTTTCTTGTATCATGGCCAATCAAACGTCATGCCACAGATTTTCAGCATGATTTTTAATTACACCAATAGAAAATATAGTTTTTGTCAGGTGACCGCATGGATAATCTCTCCTTCCTTTCAGTATTTTTAATAAACATTTTACGTGCGTGTGTTCATGAGAAAGGACGTCGGATAGCAGCATCCCAGCCCCCCGAACCCCCCCCCCTCCCCCCTCCTCCCGGATTTCCTTGTCAACTGTTTTGGAGGCTCCCTTTCTTTTAAATGTAGCTACGGAGTGGCCGGTGTGATTCTGTGCATGAGTGCTGGGGGCACCGACCTGGAGCCTCCCCCTTTCAAAAATTGCTGGATATCGATCCGCCCCTGGATTGTTAATGAAATTCACAAGAAAACCTTTGGATATCAAAGAAGAAAAATTCGAAGTTGAAGAAGGTAAATTCAAGTGTTTTTCGAAAATCAAGAAAAAAATACCCGTTGATCATTTGACATATTCGAGAGCTGTCGTTCATGAAAACGCTGTTACAGGGTCAATTACTCTTCCTCTGTGGGTGCAGTACAGCTTAAACCCTATATTACAATAGGTGGGATATTTTAATATATTTCTGTCTGGAATTCATGTCAAGAATTTGATTTCTAGTTACTGTGGATTGAATATTTGAAGAGATCCGTAAAATCATTTCGTAGTTCACTTAGGGATATATACGTACTGTAATTTATGTGAAAGACATTTCACTTGCAGAAATTTTGCATTTGTATATTACAAAGCCCATTCATTCTGTAATTCAGATTCAATATACATGTAAATTAAAATGATGAAATCGCCTTGGTGTTCAATAATTTATTTACACGGCACAGTTTTGGCTGGCTCCGCCCATCGGTGTATCTCCAGTTATTGTACACTTGACTTCAAAGGAAAAACACCGCAGCCATGATACAAGAGAAAATTACACTATAACTTGTTCTGTTGTTTGAGTGGAGTTGCGGTAAATTAACTTAAAACTTTTCAGATTTACATTCCTAATGAAATCAAAGAAAATATATCTACATATCTATCGATGATTTAGGGGGGAGAAGGATTTTAATAATAAAACGATTAATAATTTAGTACTAAATTATTCACATACATGTAGTTCATTTTTTATTAAAAATTGTCTTTCTTGGCATGAATAGAAGTCTCTTAATAATGTAACTTGAATCTTTAAACAAACTTGTTTTACACTCCATCTGAATATATATCCGGGGGTGAAGAATGCATTGTGAACGTATTGTGAAAGCAGCCAGCGCAGTGAGAACGCCATGAACACGCTGTGAAAACTCCGTGGAAACACAGTCAATCGCATAGAGATCTCCGTGGAAACGCAATAGAACGCTGTAGAAACGCGTCGGTTGCCGTAGGGACGCCGTGACATCTTCACATTTTGAAAATATTAAGATATTTGAGCAATTTCCCTATTATGCTACGGCGATTTTAAAAATTTTATAGCTCATATAATACAATACATTTAATATTTGTATAAAAACTTTGAAATCTTTGTCTAATGTTTATGGATCATTTAGCAAAAATACTGAAATTTAAAACTTTGTAGGGTTCGGCAAATGTGGAGAGAACCTAAGTGTCCCTAATTTGTATTTTTTGGATGAAAGTTGAAGGAATGTTGAGTTTTAAATCACTTCTAATGTTTATCATTTACTATTTTTGTTGTTTGAAATTAAATGTATAAAATATTGTTTTCAATGAAATATAGGGAGAAAAAATAAAATTATCTTCACTTTTGGCACACACAACTGTACATTGTAATCTTTCTTTTAAGAACGTCATTAATTAATTATCTGAGAAAAATTAAGATTGAAGACAAATATACCAGCAATCAAGACGTGTCCCCTTTGCAAACAGAAAAAAAACAAGGGGAGTTCAGACCACCTAACCTCCCACTCTGGATTCGCCAGTCTCGAGAAGGAATCGGTTGTTTTTCCGGAATATAACTGTCCGGTTTTAATATTACAATCTTTTCATGCTGTCTGTAAAATGTTTGGAATTATGAAGTATTTACATGGAAAATAGAAGCACACAAATAACATCGAAACAAAAATTTTCACAAGTGATGATCTAAGTGATGTGAACTTTAAAAGATTAAATTTTCAGGAAATATACACGATCATGAGTGCGATAGACTTTAAAAATCAAGGGAACAAGTATTACGCTTCTAGAAATTACGAGGCTGCTGTCAACTGCTACTCGAAAGCGATTGTAAGTTCCTTAAAATAAAAGAATTGAATGTTGTACTGACTACTGTAAACACAAAGGAAAAAGAAAACATTGAGAGAATGATTTAACATTTTGTCTATTATGGCTTAAATTTAGTGGTTGAAGACATATATAAACTCAAAAAAGTATTGCTAAGCATTCAATGTAAGTTTGTAACTCGTATTAAATTGTTCAAGAATCGTTTTGAACAGGTCCAGCACAATACCCTGTTAAAGGTATATAGCTTGATAAAGCTATATAGCTTTATCAAGGTATTACAAATACCTTGATCAAGGTATTTTATGTCATGAAAATTCAAAAAAATTCTTTAAAAAGTAAATACTGAAAGTCGAGTTCTGAGTTGTAATACCTTGATAAAGCAATATAGCTTTATCAAGCTATATACCTTTATCATGGTATTGTGCTGGACCTGTTGAAGCGAATTATATGGCACAAAGTCTAGCTCACTGGTGCTTGTGGACAGCATATCACCTTGTGCTGGGTGTGCTCCCACTCCCAAATTACAACCTGGGTTAATGGATATCTTTACCTAAATTATTTCATAAATTATTCTTCTTCCACACATTTACAATGTATAGAAAATCTAAAAATAACATAGAATAAAAAATTTGTTTTAAATAATACCTGTTGTTTAATACAATTTACATATTTAGAGAAAGGTATTTATGGTTTGTTGACATTGGACCCCTCTATTGGCCTGTAGTGTAGCATTATAGCATATATATGTTATCCTACTGTGATGTAAAATAGGGCTTGATATTGTCAATGACTGAATTTTACTTACAATTAAATTATGACATTTTCAAATGTTTTGTTGCTTTAGCCTTTAGCAGGATGGGCACAGTTCCTTTTTTTGGGGAGGTCTGACTATAAAAGGGAACTATTACTCTTTTCAATAATAAAAACATTACTCAATTCAATAATTTTTGTCACATTTTTTAACTAATGCATCAAATCCATGTATTAAATAAAAAGTGCATAAAAAATACGATGTGATGTGTTTGATCTTTATTAAACGAACCTCGCTGACCAAAAAATTTGGTCAATCAGTGCTGCAGACAAGAGTACTAAGATGAGATTTAATCATTTTCCATGTTGATGAAGGTACTAAAAGTATGGAATCTAATAAGGACATTCATTGTTGAACCATTTTAAAAGAATATCGTTTGAAATTTAACATTTCAAATAATTATTGTCATCTGTAAAAGAAGCAATGGTGTTTAAAATTATTTTTACGATGTCATTTAAAGAAATAGTATAAAATTAAATTAGAATGAATAACTTCATGAACGAGTTAGCAAGTGCTGAACGTATTCAATCTCACAATTTTAACACAGGTAAGCTTCCGTAAGAGATCTATATCATAGAAATATTTCATCAATCTTTTTTAGCTTTTTGCAGCAATAAATGATTCTCATATGATACACATATGTGGATCATATGTGGCAGAGTTTCCTGTGTATAAATCATGGTCACACAGTGCATGCAACTTGGTACTGAAGTTTTTAGAATTCAGATTTCTCAAGAAATATAGAAAATAACTTCTTATTTTTTACTGAAGGGAGAGATATATTACTATAATTCAAGTCATAACTTTTTATTCTATTATAGACCCGAACCGAAAAACCCAAAACCGAACCTAAAAAATTAAGAACCGACCCCAACTGAAAAATTATGGAACAGTGACAGCCCTAAGATAGCTGTGATTGACATTAATCGATATTAATTATGCTGCAAACAGATTTATTCAACTCTTACTAAAAAAAGCCCAGTAAAATTGTCCAAACTCAGGTCACTTTTTATTTTTGTCAGAACTATATCATGTATATATGGTCCATTTGCCATAATATTAAATATAGTGAAATAAAAATTGTGTGTAAATTGATACTCATTCTTTTTTCACATTACTGGAATACTCTTGTTTCAGATAAAAAGTCCAAACACTCCAACGTTTTTCACAAATAGAGCTTTGTGTTATTTAAAACTGAAAAACTGGGACCAGACAGTTCAGGACTGTAGACGAGCCTTAGATCTGGATAGAACCATTGTAAAGGGACATTTCTTTATGGGCCAGGCTCTTGTTGAGCTCACTTTTTATGATGAGGCCATAAGTAGTCTTAAAAGAGGTATTATGCATACACACTTTTACCTTATCTTGATCTATACATCTGGATCCTCTCGAAAGTTTTCCTTGTTTTCAGAGCAAATAGATATATTTATATACATTCACTTTAGTAAAAGATTTTGTGATAAAGCACATTATGTACTGCATTTAATGTTTTTTTTTTTTTTTTTTTTTTTTTTTACAAATTCATCACTTAGTTCATTTTCTAATGTAGTAGCAATCAATTAAAATTGAGACTTTCCTTAATTATAATGAATATATTAATGATTCCAATTTTTCATGCATTATCATTTTAAAAATATTTTCTATTTTTAGCCAATGATTTAGCAAAGGAACAGAAAATGAATTTTGGAGATGATATTACCAGTGCTCTGAGAAATGCAAAGAAGAAGAAATGGAATATGTTAGAAGAAAAGAGAATCCAGCAGGAAATAGAACTTCAGTCATATATAAACACATTAATACGAGAGGACACTGATAGGTAAACAGAAAAAAATACCTCAAAGCCTGACCTCAGGCTTTTTCCCTGTTATTTAGGATTTAAGGTGAGCATTATTGTTCATGGGCCTCTGATTTATCTTTTCCTGATAAAATATGCTTGGATTGCAGGTTAAAAAATGAAGTGAAAAAGACAGCCAATGAAGATGATGATGCGGACAATATTTTGAGTGAAATTGAAGAACAACAGGTTAGTTCTTGGTGCTACTTTGAAAAAAAGAAAATTCAAATATTTACGTCATTCTGAATATCACAAGTTTTCATTTATCAAAGAAAAGTTTTGGGAGTAAGCATTTAATAAATTAATTTTATGTATTATTTGATAGGATCAAAGAATCAAGGATATAAACGATCTGTTTGCACAGCTAGATGAGAGAAGAAGGGTAGGTCACTGTAGGAATCTGCATTTGACAAAAGTCTGCTGTACATCAGTCATGTAACTTTAACTCATTGAAAATTATCGACACATTTGTTTTTTCTCCATTCTATTTCAGGCCAGAGATGTTCCTGATTTCTTATGTGGAAAGATCAGTTTTGAACTTTTACGTGATCCTGTCATTACACCAAGTGGAATAACCTATGATAAAAAAGACATTGTAGAACATCTTCAGGTACTTGTATTTTGCGTTTAGCTATATTTTTGCAACAAAAAACACCGGATGAGATACTCATTTTTATTGTATGCTGTATGTGTTAGTAAATAGTCCGGAGTCATTTTATTTTACTACTGAATTACATCTAGCATTGGAGACAATCTTAGGAAATTACTTTTGAGGAAAGATTCACAAATAAAATGTGAATCACAATGTAACAAATATAATAGGTTTCTGTTTCAAATTCTAATTTTGTACTATGTCAAATCCATTAAATTCTCATCTAATGAACTTAATGCTTGATGTAAGGGTCTGTAACTCTTTATATAAGTGATAATACTACCAGTAATAATTTTTGCTTAACTAAGATTTCACGTGCCTAACATGAATAAAAGGGAAAAAAAACAACGTAAAATAGAGAATTTGAAATCCATGTTGTGTCATTTGATACTTTCAGAGAGTGGGACATTTTGATCCAGTAACTAGAACTGATTTAACTCAAGATCAGCTGATTCCAAACTTAGCCATGAAAGAAGTTATTGACCATTTCCTGGAAGAAAATCCCTGGGCCGAGGATTACTGAGGATGTGTAGTATTAATTGACACCATTCCAGGTCTTTTTTGTATACACATGTATGTATGTATGTATGTATGTATGTATAGGCACTTGGTGATAGTGAAAGCTTAAGCTGTTTGTATAAATTGGAAAGGGGCTTTCATTATAAAGATTTGTGTGCAATTTCTTCGTACTGATAAAAGATGTATATTATGGATGGCTAATTCATGTTTTAATGTGTTGATTATGTTAATCATATTATAATGTATATTGTTTTTTAATGCAAAGCTGGGGTTCATTGAACATTTTTTTGTCTAAAGATAAATGTACATGTAATTTAATTGTGTTCCAGTTATTGACCCATATGTTCTGCAAGGACGTAGCAACAGGGGAGGGCCTGGCCCCCCCACTTTTTTCCCCAACTTTCATTACCTTTACTATAGAAAATGTCCATCGAAAGGAAGGTTGGCCCCCCTCCCCCCACTTTTTACCACAGTATATTGATATGTAGGAAATGTAGCCAAAAATTTGGAATCGGAAGGAAGTTGGCCTTGAAAAAAGTTGTCCACTACAACCCCCCCTCCCCCCCCCCCCCAATATAGTTTATGGTTTTGTTTTATCCATAAATTTTCATTATATATGTCATGCATATAAACTATTTATTTATGATTTCAGTTTCAGGATTTCTGATCATAGTTACTTCCTGATGTTGTATCATTTGCGTTACTGTAATTTGCATAAATAAATGAGACTGATTTTTCCAGTCCAATTCATGTTGACAAACAAATGTCTCAAATTTTCTAAAAGAAAATCAATGTCTTAATTGGATAGGATTAATTGCAATTTTGTAAGTTAAGCATGTTACATTCAACCAAAGGTTTATTTTACCTGGTATATTCTCATGAATAATATATAGCTGTGTCAGAGGATAGTGTGTACTGTACATGTATATATTCAAAATGCCAATCAGTATAACTGTAGTACTTGATCTCTCAGGAGATTTTTAAATCCAGCAGAAAATTCAAGAACATTGTGTCCAATTTTAATATGGATTTGTTGCACTGTTTCAATTCAGAACAAAATACATGTATTCTTCAGACTTGAAAAATGCATTTAAAAAATAGTTCCTTAACTGCCCACTTATTTATGAATTTATATATAAACATATACACTATGTTATAAACATGTATTGTTATTTGTCTTGATTTTTTAATAATCTCAGCGTGTTAGATAAATTTGATTTTTATATTTGTGTGTAATGGGGATGTCCCGATGATCAAATATGATTAATGAATCTAAACTAAATTCCCTTTAACCTTTGTCATAAATATTTATTATTATGTATATGTACTGTATATACATTTAGTATGTGCATTAACCAATGCATTAATATTATGAGAAATATAAGAATTACAAATGCTAACGAAATTGATAATAAATTGTTTTTTATTTGATTTCATTTTTTCCTTTACTTTTATATGAAGTTTGTCTGGAGGAGTCTATGCTTAAATACAGAGTTTAAGATATAAATTGGTCAGATATATAAATTAGTTTGACATTTTTAGTTCATTACCAGTGATTCTGAACTTGCTGGAATGACCTTGAGTCAAGGTCAAGACTCACCCGTGGCTCATTAGCAATTTTTTGTACACAGTATTAGGTGCCAATGATTCTTTATTATAAAGTCAAATTTTTGGCATTGAGAATTTAATTCATTTTCAGCCTGTGATTTTAAACTTGCAAGGTCATAACACATCATTGTCTCATATTAAAGCAATCCAAGTATGCGCCTTCACTTAGAAACTTAGATATATGGAGAGGTAACAAGAATATTGACCTAACGGTACTTAAATTCAACAGAATACGGTTATAATACCTTAATTATAAATAAATAGTATTCTATAATACATGTCAAGTACAATGAATAAAAAGTTTTGAAGTTATTGACAAGTAGACTTTGGCAGGTATGGGTACGAAATTCAATTCCTAGTACATGTATCTATTGCGTAACTTTTTTTAAAAAAGTTTAAATGCAACTTTTTCATCATTTTAAATTTTTACAAGTTCAAGGAGAGAGAACTTGTACATGATATCTTTTTTCCATGTGAATGCAACTCTTCATTCCAGAAAAATAATGAAGTGCTCAAAGAAGAGTAACATCACAACTTGATTTTAACTATAGAGCCAACAGACCATTTTTAGCTCACCTGAGCCGAAGGCTCAAGTGAGCTTTTCTGATCACATTTTGTCCGGCGTCCGTGTGTCTGTCTGTCTGTCTGTAAACTTTTCACATTTCACCGCTGGGCCAATTTCAACCAAACTTGCCGCAAAGCATCCTTGGGTGAAGGGGATTCAAGTTTGTTCAAATAAAGGGCCATGCCCTCATTCAAGGGGAGACAATTGGGAATTAATGAAAATTTGGTGGTATGTTTTAAAAATCTTCTCAAGAACCACTGTGCCAGGAAAGATGAAACTTATGGGGAAACATCCTCAGGTAGTGTGGATTCAAGTTTGTTCAAATCATGACTCCTGGGGGTAGGGCAGGGCCACAATGGCCGACCAAATTTTTACATAGAAATATAGGAAAATTCTAAAAAATAAAAATCTTCTTCTCAAGAATGACAAAGCCATAATTCATCATACATATATTTATATGGAAGCATCCTCAGGTAGTGTAGATTCAAGTTTGTTCAAAGTTTTACATAGAAATATATAGGAAAATTCTTTAAAAATGACCCCCGGGGGTAGGGTGTAGGGGCCACAATGGCCGACCAAAGTTTTACATATAGAAATATATAGGAAAATTCTTTAAAAATCTTCTTCTCAAGAATAGCCAAGCCAGAATTGATCATATTTATGTGGAAGTATTCTCAGGTAGTGTAGATTCAAGTTTGTTCAAATCATGATCCCTGGGAGTAGGGCGGGGCCACAATGGCCGACCAAAGTTTTACATAGAAATATATAGGAAAATTCTTTAAAAAATCTTCTCAAGAATAGCCAAGCCAGAATTGATCATATTTATATGGAAGCATCCTCAGGTAGTGTAGATTCAAGTTTTTTTCAAATCATGACCCCCGGGGGTAGGGCGGGGCAACAATGGCCCACCAAATTTTTACGTAGAAATATATAGGAAAATTCTTTAAAAATCTTCTTCTCAAGAATAGCAAAGCCATGATCAGTCATGGGACTACTTTTGGATTTAAACTTTTCAATAATAAACCAATTTCTACTTTTTCCTAGCAACTGTGCTCAGGTGAGCGATGTGGCCCATGGGCCTCTTTTTAACAATAGATTCAACCTGCAGTACATGAATATCCATATCATCAAAGTTTAGTTTTGCGTACTAGTATGTAGTAGTGTTAGATACATGGTTCTGCTACATTTAGTGCCTACGTTTGGACCCAGGTGTTCTCTGGCGAGTGAGAGTGATTGCTGTTACTTAGCCCCAAAGGTGTCAGCAAGCCAAAAGAGATGAGGACATCTCATTCTCTGGAGGGGGACAATGTAGTAGTGTCAGATATATGTCAGCTTACTAGGTTGGGTTAGCGGGTTAGCCCTTTAGCTCAATCAGTAGGGTACTGGAATGGTATGCCAGAGGCCTCGGGTTCAATCCCTAGCAGAGGCAGTTACATGTCTCTGTTACACTGAGAAGGGAAGAAGATTTTGATTTTTTGGTAAGTGAGTGGACATTGTAACCATAAGGAATTGGACACTTGGTCACCGAGATATGTGTTCTTTCTCATCTACTGAGCATGGAACAGAAACACATTACATGTATGTAGAATATGTATATACAGCATGTAATAATGTTCATTAACTAAATTACTAAATGTCCATCAATTTTTAGCACCCAATGATAAATTTTGATTCCCTTGATTGACAGGGATGCACAAGTCAGGTAAATCTGAAGGTTAATTATTATCTCAGCCTTTAATTTTATGGTTTGATCAAGTCAATGAATGCAATTCACAATAATGCTAAGAATATGGATATTAATTAAAATACATGTACTGTCAAAACTATTTGGTCTCAGTCCATTTTATTGTGAAGCAGAAAAAAAAGGTTTATGTCTGGAAAGTGGAGATGAAAATAGGATTGGGTCATTACAAATCTTTTTATTATGCCCCGCCATGAATATGGACGGGGCATATAGTGTTTGTCATGTCTGTCTTCCGTCCTTTTGTCACACTTTGCGTTTAGCTCTGTTCAAAGCTAAGTTTCAAAGAAACAATCCAAGATATTTTCATCAAACTTCATATGCTGATATATATTGATGAGAGATTTGCAACTGCATCAACAGTTTTTGACCTTGACCTTTCCTTTGACCTTGGTCTCACTTTTCTTAAATGAGTGTTTAGCTCAGTTTTAAACATACCATTCAAGATGGTGTTATCAAACTTCACATGTTGATACAAACTTGCATGGATGATAGTTTTTGGAGCAGGTCCATTCCTAATGAACTATAAGCCCTACTTGGACCAAACTTGCATGGATGATGCATCTAGAGATGGACACTACCAGACTTGCTTTGGATGCTGGATCTGACCTACAATTTCATTCCCTAGTAACTATAAGCCCTACCTGAACCAAACTTGCATGGATGATGCATCTAGGGATGGACACTACCAGACTTGCTTTGGATGCTGGATCTGACCTATATTTTCATTCCCAAGTAACTATAAGTCCTACCTGAACAAAACTTGCATGGATGATGCATTTAGGGATGGACACTACCAGACTTGCTTCGGATGCTGGATCTGACTTATATTGTCCAAACAAGCAATTCAGCTGCATCACTATTCAAGATATTCTAATCAAATTTTATACACATACAAATTTTCATGTTGCTTTACTAATATATCCTCAGCGGGGCGTTCATGTCCTATGGACATATTTCTTGTTTTTCAAGTACCACTGGGCCAGAAAAGCTTTATTGTATGTGGAAGCATCTGGGGGTAATTTAGATATTAAATTGTTCAAATCATGATCCCTTAGGGTAGGGCAGGGCCACAATAGGAAATACAATTTTCACATTGAAATATAGAAAAATCTTTTAAAATCTTCACAACCACTGGTCTAGGAAAGCTGAAACTTATTTGGAAATATCTGTTAATGTAGATTCAAAATTTCCCAAATTACCATCCCATGGCATAGGTTGGGCCACCATAGGTATTGCAATGGAAGGGGGGAATGAAGAACAGCATTGCCAAGTTTTTCAGGTGAGCACTGTGGTCCATGGGCCTATGTTTAACAAATGTTTCTCAACAAATCAGATTCAACCAATTAAAATGAAAAGTATAAAATTCATAGCTATAACATATTTCATACAGAAGCAACTTTTTCATGCATGGGTCGAGGACTTTTAAAAATTTTTTTTTCGGGGAGAGGGGGCACTGGTCTTTAAACAAACGTGACACTAATTACATTTGTTTTTGTTTTAAAGACAGAGTGTGGGACAGGTCACTTTCCAGCTAAATTCTTGAGAGTCCCATGGAGGTTTGGATCCCTCCTCCCCAAGGATCCCAGTCACCCTACTTAGATCCTCGCGTGGGGGGTGGGTGTTATATTTAGGACAAAATGTTTTCTTTCTTATCTATGACTTTCCTTAAATTCTATGGTAAAAACTAAACGAATTAGATTCATTCATGATTGGGAGTCTATGCCATGCTTTTAATGTTGAAATATAATATGCTGACTTGGTATCCTGCACTCAAAATTAGCACGCAAACAATATAAAAGATTGATATACTAGTATCTAAGTGTATCAATAAATATTTTATCATTTACATGTAAAATTTATATTCTGTTTAAAGAATAAATACGTATAACATATAATGCAAATTATAACTGTAATTTTAAGTAATTTATTAAAATACCCACAAGATTTGTTTTCCTACATTACACTTAATTTCGACGAATTAAGCAATAATGCGAAGGAGGAAAATGAAGGGGGGGGGGAGAATTTCAAAAGCAAAAGATTAGTGTACATGCGGCGTTAGTTTATACACATTTCACGATTTAATGACCACAGTAGAGTAATGAGTGAGGAATAATTAAATCACGTGAGTATGATCTTTGAACATAATTCACCGATTGAATTCACAAAGTAGTAGCAGGTAAATGCGCTGCAGTCTTTCAGATCATTTCATTTACAATTTTTCAGTCGAAAATGCTTTACAGGGGCCTAGAGATGATCAAGAATTGAGGTAAATATTCTAAACAGCCGTTAAAGTTGTTGTAATAAAAATATTTTTAAAGAATTGATTCAATTTCTCTAAAGAAGGCCGTGTATTTATGACATTCCCGCCACTTTCAAACATTATTTTCGCTGGTCAGTGGTCAAACGACACGACTCCCAGATCTTCTTAGACAGTTGCATGTAGGTTTACAAGTAACACAATATAGTTTTATTTTATTTATAGTAATATACTAGTAATTTTAGGGGAAAATTGCA